TATGATGAGTCCAAGAATCAGCGCCTCTTCCCTGATCTGCAGCTGGAACCCTCTCCGTTTCTCTCTCATTTCCAGCATCAGGGGCCCCATACCTGTTGATATTTGTCTCTTTTCTTCTCTGGTTAGCTAACAAAGGTTGGGATTTTTCAGAAACATTTTCTACTAGGAAACTAAGGGTTTCTTGGTTCGTTTGTGGGGAGGGAAGAAAGGGGAGTTATTATTGTTTAATGGGTATAGAGTTTCAGTTTTACAAGATGAAAAGAGTTATGAGGATGGGTGGTGGTGACGGTTGCAAAACAATGTGAATGTACTGAATACAACTAAACTGTACATGTAAAAATGGATAAGACGGTAAATTTTATGTTATGTGTATTTTACTGCTGTAAAAAAAAAAAAAAAAAAACACATCAAAGTGGATGGATTTACAGATCATTTGCCCTGAGTTTAGCTTCAGTGTTTGTTAGTAGGTGACTTGTCTTGTCTTCACTGTGATGGTAAATTTTTTGTGTCAGCTAAGCTAGGCTGTGGTGCCCAGGTGTTTGGTCAAACACCAGTCTGGATGTTGCTGCAAAGGTATATTTTAGGTGTGGTTAACATTTACAATCGCAGACTTTGAGAAAGCAGATTACCCTCCATGGTATGGGTGGGTCTCATCTAACAGCTGAAGAGCAACTCTGAGGTTTCCCAAAGAAGAAGAAGTTCTGCCTCCCGACTGCCTTTGTACCCGAGACTGCGCATCAGCTCTTGCTGGAGTTGCTAGCCTGCCAGCCTGCCCTGCGGATTTCAGACTTGGCAGCCTCCACAGTTGTGTGAGCTGATTCCTTAAAATCTCTCTGTCTCTATCTACCACCCTATACACACACAGACACACACACTTCCTATCCGTCTTTTGGTTCTGTTTCTCTGGAAAACCTTGACTAATATATTCACCTGAAATGAGTTAGAGATGGAGGTGCTCAGACTTCCCAGAGGGGAGACAGGAGAGGCCCCCTCCCAGGTCTGGTGAGCACCCTGTTCCCTCTCCTCCTCTGTTTCCCTGGGGACTTGGCCCATGGAGTCAGTGCCCTCTGCCTCCAGCCTACTTGCCTTTCTCTGTTGCCCCTGCCCTGGGCCTGAGGTCCTGCCCCGCCCACTGGCTCTCTAAGTGAAGGAGGGTCTTTCCTATGAGGCCCCACCATGTTTTGGACCGAGGTCCTGGTCAGGCCTTCCGGAAGCCATCTCCTGACCTTGCGGCCAACCGGGCTCTGCCCGTGGTTCTAGCACATGCAGATTTGGCTTGATCCACTCCCGTCTGTTCCTTTGCGTTTACCTGTACCATATTTACCAGCTGGTTCATAGCTGGTTCTTCCACTGGGTAAAGCCTTGATTCACCTCCTATTTTCCTTGGCCAGCATCCATGCCTAGTCTCCTAAGGACTTAACTCTCAGGCACCAACTTTTATTGCTGAAACCTATGGGCATTATTTCAGCTTCTTCCCACAGCCAGCTAGAGATCCTCATCTCCTCCTGTAGGTCCTGCTGGACTGCCTGTTAAAAGGAGGATGTATGGTTAATTCCCTCTCTCTCTCATTTACCTATTGTAATATTTAGGGAGTTCATTATATACACTATCTTATTTAACCTCTACAAAACCCCTTATTTAATATATAGTAAACCCATTTTATAGATTTGAAAATTGTTACACAGAGAGGTTTTGGAACTTGCCTCAGGCCATACAGTTTGGGAATGGAATTTAACCCCAGGCAATCTGAATCCAAGGCCTGTGCTCTTAGCCAGGGATACATGAAAACTTGCAATTAGGAAAGAGGAGGGAGCGAGGAATAAAAGTAAATGAATTAGAGACATAAAGCAAAACCAGGAATAAGATAAATATTATGAGTAGACTGCAGAAAGTCCTGCACATGGGCTACTGGTGGGCCGCAGATTTAGCTCCCAGTTCCTAGCAGCCGACACACACCCAGGCAGGGGCCTCCCCTGCCTTTCAGCTCACCTGCTGAGCAGGGAGGTCTGGCAGTGCATGGTGTCATCGTGATCGAGCACAGATCACCAACAGCACCCACTGCCCTAAAATCTCTTGTTTGGCTTATCATGCAGGTTTTCCCTCAAACTGAAGAGCCCAGCTCTCTCAGAATCCTACTGCTGCAGTTTGGCAAAATTATTTTGCACTTGGGCTTCCCTGGTGGCACAGTGGTTGAGAATCTGCCTGCTAATGCAGGGCACATGGGTTCGAGTCCTGGGCTGGGAAGATCCCACGTACTGCGGATCGACTGGGCCCGTGAGCCACAACTACTGAGCCTGCGCGTCTGGAGCCTGTGCTCCACAACAAGAGAGGCCGCGACAGTGAGAGGCCCGCGCACCGCGATGAAGAGTGGTCCCCGCTTGCCACAACTAGAGAAAGCCCTCGCATAGAAACGAAGACCCAACACAGGCAAAAACAAATATAAATAAATACATTAAAAAAATCATTAAAAAAATTATTTTGCACTTGTAAAAATGATATCTAATTCCCACTAAGAAAAAGGATGAGTCTTTCTCTCTTAGAATAATGAATAGTGTTGATATTAGATTGTAAAATCTGAGAAACCTGCAACTTTAAGACTTAGCTTTTTTTCTCCTTTGTATGTCTAACAGTGCCTAGTCTAGTGTCATTCTACTGCATGTAATGGATAGACAGGGATTGTATTGAGCAGATGTGAATAGTAATGGATGCTGAAGAGTGCTCTCATAGCACTTGCTTTTTACAAGAGGAAGGATCACTTCCTGGGAAGACTTTCAAGTATTAAATGGTTCTAGAGCTAATGGAAGGCAGTGTTGTGCAGCGGAAAGAGCAGAGTATCTGTGTGACCTTAAGCAAATCCCTTAACCTCTCTGATCTCAGACTATAAAAATGGAACATGTCTATCACATGAGACTGAGAGGCCTACAAGAGAGGATGTTCCAGTGTTTGCAGTACGGAGGTGGTTCACAACATCCATTCATTCATTCTTTCATTCCGAACATTCTCATCGGCATCTGCTATAGGCCTACCCAGTGCTCAGTGTGTTCTGTCTTGGGACTACAACAGTGACCAGGATAGACAGACACCTCCTCCCCAATTTCGTCCTTCCCTGAGGATAGTAGTTCCTGCAGCAGATATTTAATAACAGAGGTGCCCCAAGATCAAGTTACTGAGGGGAGAGATGGTGGGGTGGAAAGAAGATTGGGGAAACTCTGGGGTACAAGGACTGCATGCAGAGAAATGGCCTTTTCCATGCAGTCCATATGGCCCTGCGTGCCAGCCCAGCTGACCCCAGGGTCCCCAGCAGGCAGTGGCAGAGGCCGGTCTCATCTAACTGCTCCTGTCTCACACTGCCAATCCTCCAGGAGCTTGCCAGGGCGACGTTAATGCTTCTGCTGAGGAACGATTATACCTTCATCACTGTGGTGGAACAGAGTGCCTCCAGTGCTCAAGGCCTGCATTTATAAGAGAAGCGGAGGATGGTTTAATGTTAGCAAAACAGCCCAGTGCACTCACAACAAAACCTCCGTGCAATCGAAAACGATGTACTAATTACACACAGGCCTCGGCAACGTGCTCTTCTCCCGGCTCTTCAGGGTGTTGTGTTTGCATTTTTCTCACCCTCAAGACCAGCATTTGCATCTCTCCAAGTCTCTCTGGGAACGAGTGTGTGTGTGTGTGTGTGTGTACGCACAAACACCATAAACTCAGAGGCTGCAGAATAGGCCCTGAAATATCTTCACAGGAATTATTTCTCTGAATCTACAATAATTCTACAACTCTAGTGTGCACTAGATTTATCAATATGCAGTTGTTTACGTGACTGTGGTTTTCAAGTCCCAGGCCCCATTCTTACATGCGCTGTCTGTATAAGACATGTAAGATTGGGCTGTCCTTGAGAGCAGGGTCTGTGTCACCCCTGTCAGGCTAGCGGCACCCTGAAGGCAGGGGCTATCTCTGCCATCAGATTAGAGGCCCTCTGAGGGCGAGGGCTGCATCTCATCCTTAAGGATCCTCCACTGAGTGCTGGGTCTGAGGCTGTGGGCCCAGACACAGTTCTGACGTCATGGAGGTAGATCGGTGGTTTCCCGGCACGCTCCGTTGAGATGTCAGATTGACAGATTATCCTCGTTTGCTCCTTTAGCGGCCGAGAGTGGAAGTGTCACCCACACACTTTGGGACATGGGAAAGAAAAATAGAAAAAAGGAGGTACAGCAAGGGGAAAGGGACATGGCATCCTCAGGCCAAACATCAATTCCCTACCTCTAGGATGCGTTGCCTCTGGACTCCATGTCTGCCCTGAACTGCTTTTATCCCCCAGGCCACAGTCCAACCCTTTTCTCTCCCCTGGGCTGGATCTAAAAGCACACAGTATCCGGCATCTTTCCCTCGATTCACCCTTAATCCCTCAACTGAGAATAAAAGAAAAACAACCAAAAAACCCTTCCATGGCACAGCTGAGACATTCCTTTTCCAGAATCCTTATGATTTTCATACCCTAAAAGGCTGATGAGGGCAAAAATTGTGTCTTTCTCATTTATTATTTCATCCCCCAGCACTTACCACAATGCCATTCCCTGGTAGGTGCTTGAAATTTTTAATACAAATAAATGAATGTAATTTTCAGGAAGGAATGCAGGTGGATCTCCTCCTTCTGAGACCTAATTCACCCTTAGGAAAGCACCTCAACCCAAAGTCTACACTATCCGCCTGTTGTTGGAGAAAGTGATGTTCTGGGTCTTGGGGCCAGGGGGCAGTGTTCACCCATTGGTACAGCCAGAGCGTGTGTGTGTGTGTGTGTGTGTGTGTGTGTGTGTGTGTGTGTGTGTGTGTGTGTGTGAGTGCTGGTGTGTTGACGCTGATAACTGAACACTAATAAGCTCTGGCTCCAGAGAGAATTCTAGAAGTCCCTCAAAACAACTTAGCTCATCTTCCCACGAGTACCCGCTTCTTAAATATGCCCAGGAAATGTTATTCTGCATATACGCTACTGAACAACCAGGTTTATTTGAAGATTTAAGGTTTTTTTAATCCAGTAAACTTTATTTATATATAACAACAGTACAAATTGTGTCCTTGGCTTGCAAAATAGGAGTGTTTCATATTTACAATAGGTACACAGTAATATATTAGAATGACAAAAAAACCCCAGTTTATTGGAACATTTTAAATACGTAATTTTCTTACAGTTTTTATTCCACAACACCTGTAAAAACAACAAAACTGGACAGCTATCATTCTATTTTCTTAAAAAAATATATAATACAGATTCCAGTGTGTCAAGAAGAGTGGGTTTGGGTAGGAGAAGTTGAGGGGAGAGGCAGGTGGGCTCAGGTCCTTAGTCTCGTGGTACAAAGAGCTTGTCCCTCCCTCCCTGACACACTTGGGAACATCTGCTCTGTAGGGGGAACTATGTTCCATTATGTTCTCCACCTGTAATGCCAACGCAGAGAGCACATGAGGCCTGAGTCAGGGCCTTGACTGAAATCCAGACGATGCCTCCCATCTCCTTGAGGTGAGGACAGGAGGCACAGGCTGCACTGCAGAAAGGATAGAGGGCCGAGTCCCTTTAGGGTGAGGGGAATGCGATGGGCATGTCCATGAAAGGCCCAGAATCTCCAGTTTGCTGACAGGGCTGAGGCCCTGGCCCCCAGGTCCTCCCTAATACCGAGGGTGAAACTTTATTTTTTATCCCTGGCATCACGGAGCCCCCAGATGCTAAAACTTCACTCTTGGGGAAACCAGAAGAAAGGAAAGGGACAGGGAACAGAGACTGGGGTGATGAAGAGGAGGCCGCCATCTTCTCAAAGCGTGTTCCTGAGACAAGGCACCAGAAGGCCCTGAACTTCACCTCCCAAGTCCCCCCAGAGGACCTGCTCCCACAGCCCTGTGTCCACTAAACTCCTCTGCATTTTCTCACCCACAGAGCCCCCATCACTGAGGCTCAGTTCTTTCCTGCCCGCGGCCAGGGCCCAGGAACCTCAGGCAGGACAGCGTGGCTGGGAACAGTGGCCTCCTCGAGGGCAGCTGCCCGCTCAGTATCTACTGGCTGCAGGGTAATGGGGGCAGTGTGGCAACTGGGATGCACCTGGGGACTGATCAGCCAGTGGCTTTCAAACACTCTCAATTTGTGCTGCCCAGACCATTGTAGTCCAGCTCACCCATCCGTCGCTTCTGCTTCATGCTCAGCAGGGCCAGGGGCCTCCACTGCTATTTCTTGTCCTCGTTTGGTAGAAATAAAGGGAGGCCAGGAGCTCAAGCAGCAGAGGAAGTACCCCCAGAAGAGACAGCGGCAGTGGGAATGAGAAGGGCTCTCATGGCTCTCGGGACTGTCCCCAGAACGAGGTAAGGCAGCTGGGTTGGTCGGCTTTCTTGCTTCCTCTGGCTCCCTTTTCTACAAAACTTGTGCCCTCTGCAGGTCTGGGAGGTGAGCTATGCGGGCTAAGTTGGTGGCAGGAACCAGCAGCCCGAAGAACGTCAGTTTGCTAGAAGAAGGCCCTTCTTGGTCTTGTTTGTTGCTGTTTCTTAGCACCTGGAGCAGGGCCTAGCAAACAGTGTTACGCAGGAATGTTCTCTGAATGAATGAATACAGAAAACAGCTCCCTCCCGCGAGTGAGGTTCCCAGTGGATCCGTGCTTCTAATGACTGAACGTTTCAAGGAGGGGGAGCTCTCTGCCAGTAGTGGATCAGGAATGGTTCTGAGAGATGGGCTGTGGAGAGCTGTAGGAGGGCAAGCACAGAAGCACCTGAGCCCTTGCTGGGCGGTAGGCAGCAGCAGGCCAGCTGGAGGGACTCACTCCACCAAGATGGACAGCTTGTCCATCTCTGTCTTGTGTGTGAGCACCCTCTGTCTTGCCAAGCACATTTCTGGGGTGCTTTTCCTTTCCGTTTTCCAGAAGATTGTCTCTTGTGCAGACCAGTGAAACAAAATGGAGCTGGATCAACCTTCGAGAGAGAGAAGTCCCTCTCTGCCTCCCTCCAAGACGGATGACTTCATGTGGGGGAGGGAACGTGACTTTAATACTTATCCCTTACACAAGGTCAAAATATCTTCACATCACATTGGATAACAGTGAGGACAGAGGCCAATTAACTCCCTCCCCTCCCTTCCCACAGGGCATGCACTCTCGGTGACCCAAAGCCAAGCAATGCTCTCCATCCTTTCACCCTCATGGTCTGACTTGAGTCCAGTCGAGTTTTCCTTTCTCTTAATTCCTTCCTTAGGGATGCCCCTGTGCCACAACCTTTGCCAGCCCACATTCCCCAGCTCTCTCATGGAATCCTGAGAAATGTGGTCAAGCTTCTCAGGCCAGCTCTGGCGCCTCTCCTCTCCACTGTCCAAGCAGCCATGCCTCCATCATTCTCCCACTCCTCCAAAACCTTCAAGGAAGCATCCCCAGGGGTGGTGAATGGTCACCAAAAGTAGCTGCTGGGAGACACCCGGGTAGATGCCTACAGGTCGCAGTTGAGATGTCTAACTTTTACTTCTTGGTGGGGCAGAGCCCAGGATGCCAGTCTGAGCAGTGGTGTGATCAGAAAACCTTCATTCAGAGCTCGGAAGTAAAAGGAGGGTGGGCTGCACTTTTCTGTGGGCAGCACAGAGTCCCCTGCTCACGTTCCTCTTGCCGTTATCTCCTCGCCTTTCATCTCCATAAATCATGGGCTCTGAGCTGGTAAGCTTTGGGTATATGAAGGGCAAACACTTTGGCTTAGTGCAGAAGGCCAGTCATTAGTATTTCTTTCAGGCTATTAATAGGGCCCAGAGACACGTTAACAGAAGTGGATTATCAGAAGAAAGTGGCCTTCACATGGCTGGTTGTGAATTATAATGAAAACAGCGAGTTTCCTGAGTATTTTGCTGAATGCTTTTCTTCTCCCATTTGTCGGCTGCATTCAGGCAAGAAACTGGAGCTGAGGCCAGGACCGGGCAACGTCTGCTGTGTGGTTAGCACAGTGATGCAAAGCCACACCCCAGCGATGGAAGCCAGCCCTCAGAGCTACCCCTCCCCCCGGCCCTTTCCTGGCAATCCAATGTGGTCAGCAGAGCTTTTGGAAATTGGAAGTGTTTGGAGGTAAATCAGGGCACAGAGAAGCCAGGGCCCAGAGTTAATTACAGAGGAAATGACCCTGGTCTGGTATCGCTGGGGGTGGCTGGACCCGATTCCCAGCATTGCAGCCCCTTGTAAAGTAGAAGGTGGGAAGGGTGGGCTGGTCCTCTCCTGCTGCCTCCCTTCCCACCCCTTTGCCTTTCTCTTGTCCTCCTTCACGCTCACTCCGACGCTGCCTGCGGAGAAGTTGGAGCTGGCTGGATTCTTGCCAGGGTGGGAGGCCCAGAAACGCCGGTGGCTGTCTGGTCACTAGGGTCCTGCACCAGCGGAGGTGTCTTCCTCTAGATGCCTCCCACTGCCTTCCATGGGGCCTCAGGACCAGGGTGTGGAACTTTGGTCTCTTTATTTGGAAACTACACTCAGGACGGAGGGTCATCCACGGATTTAGGTGTCAGCAGGAGAGAGAGAAGCTGCCCACTTGTCCTTCAAACTCATAAGGACATGAGAGACAGAAAGAGAGGCCGAAGAAGACATAACATGGGGATGCTACAGTCATCTCTACCGAGGCCAGTGCTCAGACAGACGATCAGGAGCTTCCGCATATGAGCGAAGGGCTGTCTCCCCTCTCTAGGCATGAGAGAATAAAAGACAGAAAGCACAACAATAAATACTGCAGCTTCTCGAACCTATGCTCTTCAAGTATTGCTTGCTGTAAACAGTGTTTGAGTTTTGTTTTCTTCTTAATTGCAAGAAACCACTGGCGGATTGGAGCAGAATCCGAAGCCAAACACCCACATCCCCAGGTCAGCTCTCAAACGGAATCTCCTGGAGGCCTGGCCCACGCGCCTCCAAGGCCTTTCCCCAGGGTGCCTGGTTTATGACAGCGACGGATGTAAGGCAGAGCTGCCCAGCATCCTCGGGGAGGCCAGGCCTCTGGTCTCGGAGAGGCCCACCTCTGCCCCACTTCTGGTAGTAACTTTAGGGAAACCCAAAGGAAAAGTACCAAAATCAGCTCCTCATTTGTGGAGGTTTGGGATTAAATAAAACAAAACCACCGAACAGTAGCAAAAAGCACTGGTACTCTACAGACACATATGTCCTCTGGAGATGAGAATACACAGGTGTGCGTATGTAAAGCTGTTTCCAGTCAGCCAGGTGGAGCCGCTCGACGGCTTCGCCATTTGTGCAAAGGCTAGTGAGTCCTTCCCCACCTCTTACGGCTGCCGGGATAATTTCAGGTTTCACTGGCCTCTCTTTTTGCGAAGTGTTTGGTGCCAACTTGTGCTCATTCTTCTCCTCCTCACTTTTTTAAAACAACAATTCCGAAGTTAAGGAAACAATCATTTTTCCCTCTGCTTTCTCTCAGCATCTCTCTGTAGGCTTTTTCCGGCATTGGGAACCAGGAGTTATACGAGGAAGGAGGGACAGGGGCCAAAGAAGGAAGGGGGACAGAAATCAGAATTAAACGAAAGTTGGACGGGATGAACAGGGAAGCTTTTTGTTTTGTTTTATTTCTGGTTTTCCTTTTTCTTAAAAAAAATTAAATAAAGTTCTCATTATTTCCCCAATATACACTGAACGAGTTTTCATGCAAAGCAGCAGTCACAGAGGCAGAGCCGCGCTCAGTCGTGCCTCTCAGCTTAAAGAGCCACCTCCTCTGGGTCCTGGCGTCCCTCTCGTCCTCGCCGCGGGGAGATGGGGCGGATGACACCCCCGGTCTCTCCCTGCAGGAACAGGCTGTGACGGAACTTGGCTGGCGTGGGGAGAGGGGTCCTCCCCTCTCCCCGGGAGGGGGTCTCAGGGGACAGCAAGCGCTGGGGCCTGATCCCCTTCACTTGTCCTTCCTTCTGAGATGCCCAGTGTGACAGCTTTCACGGGTCCCTCTTCCCAGGAACAAGAGACTCCATCGCTCAGCTCTCAATGGACATGGCGTTTATGAGCTGTTCCACCTTGTATGCCAGCCGCTGTCGCCGGGCCTGCTCGTCCTGCTGGAGTGCCCCAATGAGCTGAGGAACAAAAGCAAAGTGGGGGGGCAGACTCAGCATGGAAGAGGCCATTTTCCAGAATCCTATATCCTTCTATCTGCCTTTCCATTCTGCCCTAATGAATATAACCGTAAATAATGTAAATGATTAATTGAATGTATGTATGTGTATGTACCTATCTAAAGTATTTAAAACGACATTTAGCATATAGCAAGTGCTATGTGTTAGCTATTATTATTACTACGATTATGTTCAGGTACAGTGCTAATGCATGACTTATGAATTCTCTGGAGCTGTCCTCTTCAGTATCTAGTCACGTCCACCTGTCTGTCTGAAATGTAACTGACAGCATCTGCCCAACTGCAAAGAAGAGTGTGATTCATTGTTTAAGAATGGATGAAATTAATCGTACACTTTGAACTGAAAAACAATTACATTATTTTTTTTTTTAACTTTTTTTTTTTTTTTTTCTTTGCGGTACGCGGGCCTCTCACTGTTTCGGCCTCTCCCGTTGCGGAACACAGGCTCCGGACGCGCAGGCTCAGCGGCCATGGCTCACGGGCCCAGCTGCTCCGCGGCATGTGGGATGTTCCCGGACCGGGGCACGAACCCATGTCCCCTGCATCGGCAGGCGGACTCTCAACCACTGCACCACCAGGGAAGCCCAACAATTACATTATTAAATAAAGGTGTTACGTATTGCATGAACAATGAAGGCAAGACAGTGGAAGGTGTAAGAAAGCACTGAATGAATCAGGAGAGGATAGGTTGCCTTCTAAAAGCACGGTGATGACTTTTTGACTCCGTGAATGTGTTTTCTGAATTACCCTCCGTTGCTGTTATTAAAGGATGGAGCCCTGCTGTTTGTTTAACCTGCTTTGCCCCCGGAGTGCGTCCTTCCCGGGGCCCTGACTCACCTCTTCGCTGTACTTGCTGACGTAGGAGTAGATCTCATTGAGGGCGCTCAGCATGTTGAACTCCACGGCGTGCAGGCGGGATTGCTCGGCGAGGTAGGCGTTCATGTCCTGGTCACTGATGGCGGGGAGCTTGGCGATGTCTGCGTAGTATCTGCCATACAGAGGACAGGCTCCTTGGTGGGGACTCAGCAAAGACTGCCTATACCTACCCTGGCCCCAGAGCCCTTGAGACCACAGTTGTCCCCGACTGCTCCTGCTTCCCTACTTCTCTTCTGACGAAGCTTCCTCTGGCCTCTTCCCTCAAGCTGAGGTTGGGGCCTGGAGGCTGGTTTTCCCTAAGGTTGGGGCCTGGAGACTGGTTCTCCCTAACTACTAACTTTCCAGGGTAGTTAAAAGCCCAGACTCTGACCAGACTCCTTGTATTCAAATTCCAGCTCTGCTACCTGCTAGCTGTGTGACCTTGGGTAAGTTATCTTGCCTCTCTGTGTTTCAGTTTCCTCCTCAGTAAAATGGGGATGATAATAAAACCTACTTTACCACTCTGCTGGATACTTTAGTGAGGTGATACATACGACATCTTTATCACAGTGCTGGGTGCTTAGCATGTGCTCAGTAAATGGTAATTAGAATGCTAATGAGCTGACCTGAAGGGTACAAAGCTTCCCTTTCTTCCCCCAGCAGGAACTTTGGACAAGAGAGAAAAAGGTGATCATGAGGTCCCAAAGGCACCACAAACATGGTTTTGAGTCCTGGGTCAGTGAAGCCCAGAGGAAGGAATGCAGCAGGCATTCGGGGCCACGGGCCGGTCCTGAGGGCGCTACTGACCTTTCCACCCAGCTCTTGTAGCTGGGGATGTCCTTGGCATAGAGCAGCTTGTTGGAAGGGGAGTCCTTGCCCAGCCGGTGCTCTGATGTTGAGCAAGAGTCCATGAAGGTCTGGGCCACCACAGAGAGGCAGGCGTCCGTGATGCTGCCCTTGTGGATGTCAAAGACAAACTGGGGGTTCTTGATCACGTTCACCCAGAAGCGCAGAGGGAGGCTGTAGGAGACAGCAGAGCAGAGTCTCAGGGCTGTACCTTGGCCGTGCCCCATGCTGTTCACTAACATTCCTCCCTCCCCCACAATTCTCTCTCGAAGGGCAAGAGAATGAAGTCACAGAAAACTGGTCCAGCCTGGGCTGCCAATTTAGGCTAAGCTGTTACTGATGCTGGGAGAAAAGGAGAGGCACTATTGCGCCCTAATGGGGTGCTGACCCTGTTCTCTAACAACTGAGAGGTGGGCGTGGGTGGCTTCGTTCCCTCATGGAGGTCTTTTCCAAAGGCCTCTGTGTCCCCAGGGAAGCCCAAGTACAGAGGGCTGCACAGTTTTCCCAGAGGTTCAAACAAAGCCCCCAGGCTCCCAGAGTCCCTTCCCAATGCCTGTGGCCATTATCCAGAAGGATGCAGTGGCAGCTCCAGCACGGGCTCCGAGTGGGCACAAAGGGCGCCACCTGTGCTCCCCACCCAGCCCGGCTGCCCAGCCGCTTTCCAGGGCTGGCCCGGACTGGCTGGGCTGAGGAATGGGCTCCCCTGGGGGCAGCTCTTTCACGACTCTCCCCGGGGCCGTCTCGGATCTGGTCAGGGGCAGAGGAAGAAGAGGAGGCCATTGTTGGCACGCTGAGAATGACTCACTAGGACTCCGAGTTTTTCCCACCCCAAGAGGAACTGATCAGTCGTTAGGAGAGTTCTTTCTGCAACTTGGGAAATTTATAACCGGAGGAGAATGCTTTTTCTCTGCTCCTTAGGCCATAAGGAGGATAAGCCCATTTACTCCCCTTCAAAACCAGAACAGCTGCTGTTTCTGCTGCCTTTTCCAACTTGGCCCTTTCCTCCAGCTGCCTTCAGGCCCTTAACTCTTTTGGATCCTCTGTGGAATAAGCCCTGTCCCCGGCTTGTCCTTCGGGCCTGAGATGTTTCAGCCATCCAACCTACCTCCCCCGTCTCCTTCATTTTCTCTTGATTCTCCTGGACCCCAAACTTTCCCAAATGTCTCAGTTCGTGCCAAGTCTTGGGAAAGATCAGCTGTGCCCACTCCAAGTCCTTCCATTATGATTTCTGCTTATCCTTCCAAATGCAACGGGATCACTCACTTTTCTTAACCTGGAGGGAGTGGCCTGGGCTGAGAGGTGACTCCTCTCTTCTACCTCCCCTTCGCCCGGCAGCTTTGGAAGCTTCTAATAGTCTTTCCTGGGACATTAGGGACCTGAGGTCTGGCTAAGGGGGCTCTCCCCACCACAGCTCCAGAGTCTGCTCTCCAGGGTATGACTTGGGCCTGGCCAGAAACAAAGGGCACAGAGATGGGGATAATCCAGGACGTTCTCTTGATTCCCTTGAAATTGCCACTCCCAGCGCTGGACTGAGGATCCACCTAAGCAAAGGGAACAGCCATGGCCCCGGCCCTGGGAATGCAGATGAATGAAAGGCCTGTCCCAGTGACATGCACACGGAGGCTCCTCACCCCACGACCACCAGAGCCTCTTCATTTCACTCCACTGTGATCAAAGCTACAGACTTTGGAGTGCTTGGCAACCACAACACCCCGGAAAAGAAGGAATATGTGGGGTTCGGGGTTGGGTTTTTCCAAAGTGTTTTGCTGGTTGCTAGGACTTTTGATTCCCAAATAACAGCCGGGGCCCATCTGTGCCGGCTCTGTTTTCCGAGGAGATGGCTGACTCCAGACAGCTGTGTGGGCTGCCTGCCCAACCCAAATGCCTGGACCCCCTCTCTCCTCTCTCTGTGCTCTTTTCCTGAAGGAAGGCTTTTACTCCGGCTCTTGGCCAGGCCTTTTGTGACCTGAAAGTCGGTCTTCAGTGTGGTCTATGGTCCAGGTTCAAAACCCAGGAGAGAAACGGCTTGCGTGAAGAGCCCGCAGGAGCTGTTTCTCCCAGTGCTGGGGTTGGCTGTGGAGGTTACCTTAGGGGAGACAGTCATGCCTGCAGGACGTCCTGCCTGCTGCTTCCTGAAAGCCACGGCGCCGGGGTAATCACTTGGCCTTAAGGGATCACGTTTGCAATGACAACCTCGTAGTTGGTGGGCTCAAGTCTACAGCAGGTGCAAGCTCTCTCCCAGCACTGGCCAACTTCCCCAGGGTCTAAGTTTAATTCAGGGCTTCCCCATTTCAGGAAGCGCCTTAGGTTCTGCCGTGCTTAGAATGTCCCACAATGCCTGTCTGTGAAGCTCTGCTGCTAGGTCTCAGACGTGGCTCTTTGTGTAGGTTCCTCCAGCTCCCTTTCCTAAGAAGTTAGGGAGGACGAGGCACGTCCCGGAGAAGGCTCTGAGCCTGGAAGGGCAGAGCTCTGTCCTGGTGCCAGGCTCTATGCCCGGCAGGGCCCACTTGACGCCTGGGGACCACATCTGCTCTGCGGAGCATATGTTTGTCCCAGGAGCCTTGGATTACTCAGCCACAGCAGAGAACAGCCTCCGCCCATCTCCCTGGTCCCTGCTAGTTCTCACGCCCCGCAGCTTGCAGCCTCGCCAGGCTGCAGCTCTCCCTGGGCTCCCCAGGGGGTTACCAGTTGCTCTTCCAGGTGTGCCGCACATCTGTGTCGTGGATGCTGTGTCTGTCCGCCTGCTCATCCAGGAAATCGAACATGTACTTGATGGCCAGGGGGAGAGCGCTGCCCCGGTGCACGGTGCTGAACAAGGTCTCAAACAAGTCATCCACGAACTTCTGCAGCGTGCCCTGGCGGAGGGGTGGTGGGAAAGTATGAGGTGGGGGAGGGGGACGGGCAGCAGGTGGGCAGACCAGATGGTGCCTTGGACCGATCCTGCCATGGAGATTTGTCTGCAATGCCAGGCTGTGCAGAGTGTGGTGGGAGTGGGGGTGGGGGTGGGTGTTAGGCAGGTGGGAGGGACTGAATGGGCTGCAGATTCCTGGCCAGAACCTCCTCCAACCTGCGGCCACATGCCACATTTCTGCTTGTGTCCGTGGCAGGCGGGTGTGGGTGTGGGGAGTCTGACTGAAGACAGCAAATGCTCTGAGCCCAGGCTTCCAACGGGGAATGAAGGGCACAGGCTGGTACGAGAGGGTGTCTAAAGAACAAAATGGAGGGCTGGACCCTTCCAGCGGGAACAGGGCAGGACTGCAGAGGGTCTCACAGGAAGGTGTGAAGGGCCCACCATGTTAGTGGCCAGGGATAAGCAGTGTCTGGAGTGGGGACTGGGTGAAGGGTCCAGGTCCAAGAACACTGAGACACAGCCCTGATCGCAGGGCCTTGGAGGGTACCTGGGGCAGGGACAAGGCTGGGCCTGGGGCCCACAGTTTGCTCGTTCAAAAATCACCTCTGAAGGTCAGTAAAATGTCCGACCTTTTGGTGTCTCTTTATTGGTCTCTTATTAGCATATTAGGCAAAGCAAAATTTGAGACGCATGGTCTGATGGTGTATTTCTGAGGCACTTCAGGGAGCAAATCTGAGATGGCCACTGTATTAGAATTTCAGCCACATTTTTGTGGGGTCAGTGGGGGACAGTACTGGCAAATACGGGCTGGATGATTGCTACGCATATATAGGCAACCTTTTCTCTGCCAGGGAGGCTAGAACACAGCTTTAGATCATAGCTTCCAGCACTGCTGCTGCCTCGCTTCCATGAGCATCTGGGGTTAGATGAGATGGGATGGGGAAAGGGAAGCCTTCTCTTGGATACCAGAAGGACCAGGCCTTCACGCTTTTCCTCCCACTGTGGCCAGAAAGTGGGTAGAAAAGACACTGATGGAGGAAGCTGGCATATCTGTCCATCTAATACCAATAAAAAACCCCAATGATTTCCTAAGGGGTGTAGGGGCCTGAGGTGAGACCGTTGATCCTCTGAGGAGTAATGGCGGTCCTATAGGGTGAGCTAGGAGGAAAGATGTCATTGTGATTTTTGCCAAAGGGTAGAGAACAGCAGTGGCCTGATCTCCTGGGAAGCCTGCCCCAGACCTGGACCTCCTTGTCCAAATGTGTTACCTTGAAGGACAGACTCCATGCTGTCCTTCCTATGCTGTGGGCTGGGTGGAGGGTAGGACACACCTCTGAGGAGGCCTTCCCTGGGCTGGGCAGGGCAGGAATTACCTTGGTGGCCAATAGCCGGGTCAGGTAGATCTCGGACACCATTTTGCTGCCCCGGTCACCCTCCTTCTGGTCCCCATGGTCGTGGTTCTTCACCAGATGCCACACCTTGACCCCACTCTCCAGGTCTGGGGTGATCATGGGGGCCCGAGACCGCAGGCTGTCGGGACTGCCTGTGTACCTGAAGGAGGAGTCTGAGGAGAAGGGGGCAGCGGAGGCCTGTGAGCGACTAATTGCATCATCCTGGCTTGTAGAATCCTTCTAGAATCCCTGCCCACCTGCTGCACTCACTCAGAATAAACCAGTTTCAATTGGAAGGGGACCCTTGGGGTTTCATATTTGGTGGGTTATTTTATCGATCCTTGGTTGGCATGAGAACAGCCTGAAATCTTTTTGTCAAAAGAGGACCTAGAAATTCTGTGAGCTGGAGTGGCCCTTGGGAATTTGGGAGTCCCTCATTCCCGGATGCTTCCAGCAAAGAACAATCAATAGGGAAAATGTCAACCAGATATTCTCATAGAGGCTTTAATAAAAGTCTGGATCCTAAGGGCTGTGAGTGGAAATGCCCCCTCTCGGGAGTCGACGAGCTCCTTCTTACTTGGGGCCCAGAATATAGAATTATCTGAGCCCCTTTTGGAGCTGCCAGCTTCAGTCCTGAGGTGTCCTTTAGCTGGACAGCCCAAAGCCTAGTGCTATACAGAACCAGAGGAAACAGAGTCAGAGAGAGTGAAACACCACAACCTCATTGCCCAGAGGGCACTGGGGGCCCTAGCACTCCTCAGGGGTGGAAGGGCTAGGATGGCCAATTGACTGCCCAAATTGGGACATGACTGAGAGCTAAAGGGGGCACTGTTAATAATTCAGTCAGGACGATAGCATAAACTGGGACTGGGTTATGTGAACACCCCCATCCAAGAGCCTCCCTGGGTGTGGGCCCTTCAAACTCCTTCATCAGACCTGGGCTATCAAAGGAGAGGTGCCGGGTACCACCTGCTGCCACAGCTCTGAGGAGACAGGCTGCTCCGAGGATGACTGGTCCAGGGAGAAAGGGAAGCCTTTGACTGCAGGCTGGCAGCAGCACGGGGCTCCTGCTGTCAGAAGGGACGGTGAGTAGCCCCTGGGGGTCACAGAAGACTCCACTGGCTGCCCAGGCTACCTTTCTGGTCCTCACCGTATCTGCTGATGGACGTCCGGGAGATGCTGGCAGAGGCAGGGATGTTGTAGGAGGAGGTCTGTTTGGGGACCAGAGCCACCACCGATCTGTCTGATACCTGAGAAGGGTATGAGAGATACAGTTCAGGGGAATGTTGGTATCTTGGGGAATAAAACTGTCAAGTACTTCTAGAAAGCTATGGAATGGGTTTAGGTAGAGCGTAAGGAGATCAGAAATGCTACAAATAACAATTCCTGCTTTTCAATATGGTAGCTACTTGCCACCTGTGGCTATTGGGCTCTTGCAATCCAATCAGTCCAAAGGGAGATGCCCTGTAAGTGTCTGAGCTCAGGTACGCTATAAATGTACAATACACACTGGATTTCAATGACTTAGGATGAATAAAAGTATAATAATGTTCATATTGATTACATATTCAAATGACAATTATTTTAGTTCAGTTGTGTTAAATAAAACATTAACATTACATTCATCTGCTTATTTTTACTTTTTAAATGTGACTAGTAAAAAATGTAAAGTTATACGTGTGGCTTGCACTGTATTTCTATTAGAGGGAGCTAGTGTAGCCCAGCCTGCCTTGAGCTCTGTGAGTTACATACAACTATCCCCATCTTAGAGATGAGGAACTGAAGCATTGAGAAGCTAAACGACACCTTCAAGTTCGCACAGCTAACACACGATAGAGCCAAAATTTGTCGCCCGGACTGTCAGGCTCCAGAGCACATGTTCTCCTCATTGCATCCTAATTTGGGATTTTATTTCAAGACACACTGGTCTGAAGCCCATTTTCCCTTTTGGTTCTGATTTCTTTCTGGCCTGGGTCCTATAATGGCCCAGTCACCTTGAGGGGCTTCACCACAAGACAGCTGCTCTTGGGGAGTCAGCAAGAAAGAAGGTGTCTTGCCTGTAACCTGTGAGGTTGCCCAGGCTCAGCACCCAGCCTGCAGGGAAAGGGCTGATAAATGAGGAGCCATATTGAAGACATTTGGGGCCATTTTCATTTAAGGTTACCCTCCATCCAATAAAAACAGAGAATCCCCAGAATTGTGGCGATCCAATTAAACCCCTAATGCAGAGGGAGTAAAACAGCTATAATAATGTTATGGGCCATAAAACATTCCTATTAAACCATTTTTTACTTTAACAATTTTTATGAACTTTATAAGTTTGATTTATGGCTGCACCAGTCGTAAAACCATCTTTCTGGGTCTTAAATTGTCAGTCCCTCTCTCCCACCAAAAAAAAAATTAAATGTTGGGAAGTCAAACTGTAAGTGACCATTCGCACTAACGAGATTCCCCGATAGCCAGTTTTAGTAGTGGTGTTTAATTTCACCCTCCCTATAAATCTGCGGGAACCCGGGAAGTTTTTAAAAATCTCTTTGTTAATTAAGATTATGCAGATTTTTCTCCTGTAGGGGCTCCAAGGACCTTTGACTCCTGGGAGGGTAACAAGAGGTTGACGCTTTGACTTGATGGCATAAAGCTGCAGGGTCCAGGGCTCTTCACAGTTGCCAATGCGTAGTTACTTCCCAGTTGGGGCGGCTCCCCAGACTGCAGGCAGCTTGTACCATCAGCACTAGGTCTATAAAGGAGGGGGTGGCTCCCCTGGCGGCGCAGTGGTTGAGAGTCCACCTGCCGATGCAGGGGACACGGGTTCGTGCCCCGATCCGGGAGGATCCTACATGTTGCAGAGCAGCTGGGCCCGTGAGCCATGGCTGCTGAGCCTGCGTGTCCGGAGCCACCTGTGCTCCGCAATGGGAGAGGCCACAGCAGTGAGAGGCCCGCGTACCGAAAAAAAAAAAAAAAAAAAAAAAAAAAGGAGGAGGAACTCCCCACCTAGGACTTTCAGGAACTCTCTTTGCAATTGAAATGATACACGAAAGCCTGGCAGGAGCAAGGGTTTATTCTCCCAGGGAGAACAGATTATGTTATCATTTATGGCTTGTCGTCACCTAAAGGGAGATTCACAAGGTGACTGGAATGACCACAGTTCAACTGAATTCCAGGTCTCATCACTAAATCTCCCTTGTCCTTAGTCTCCAGTCTTTCTCTTGACCAACAGGTGATGCAAACCCGTGGGCAAGATGCCTGGCTGGGTCTGACCTTGCCTCTGCACTTCGTAGCTACATGACTTCGGGAAAGTCACTTAACCTCTCTGCACCTCAGTTGTCTCATGTGTCAAAGGGGATAATAATCGAGTCTAGGTTTGTTGCGAGGATTAAAGGCATTAGGACACGTAGAGGCTGGGAGCAGTGGTGCCTGGCGCCCAGTGACACTCAGTAACTGCTGGTATTACTGTTGCTACTATGAACATCATCATCATCATTGTCTCCCAAAGGGAAGAATAATCCCTCTTGTCCCCTGTCACTCAGGGCTAGCGTGTGGGAAGAGCCTTGCACAAAGTAAAACTCGGTAAATATTTGAGGAATGAATGAATACATGAATGATAAATGACATCGGGGAATTCAAAGTGCTTTGTAAGATGAGCACTGTTAGAACAGAATATTCCATTCTTCTGATTGGGAGTCATAGGACAGACAGACCAGTAACAAGCATTAGAGCACCAAAGACAGGAGAGCGGCCCCATTCCTGCCCTGGAGAAACTAACAATTTGGGGGCATAATGCTCATTTCTTTTGCACTTTCTTCTTCGGTTCTAGTTGGTTCATTAAAACTGTTCTACGAAGCCCAGTGTGAAGTGGGGTTGGGGGCTGGGGTGGCATCAACAGAGTGATTATAGCTACTATGGAGTGGTATATACATCCTGGTATACCTCACCTGTGGTTTCTTGTACTTCCAACCACCTTCACAATTTGGGGTCATATCTCCATTCACTGATGAGGAACCCAAGGTTTAGGGAGATTAAAGTCACATCACCAGTGAATGGGGAAGCAGGGGTTTAAATAGAACTCACAAATTCTTTTCTCTGCCCACTATACCACACTTACTCCATTTAGGGAGGGGGTCCAGGCAGAGTGTCAGCATGGGAAATTCAGGCCAGTAAGGGGGATGGAGCCTGGAAGGGAGCATTTTGGGGTTTCCCCAGTGCCCCTCTCTTTCCTCTGTGCCCCAAGAGGCTCCCAGGCAGGTCCTGCTGGCTGTTAGGACCCCCAGCCTCCTGGTGGTTGGCAACTCAGTGCTTAAGAACCCAGCCTGCCAGCCCCTCCGCACCCTCCCCATGTGAGGCAGGGACAGAGGATGATGTTATTAACCAGGCAATCCCACAGGGTCCTGCTGCCCAAGGCGCTTCCTCTGGTTGGTTTAATTTCCCTCACTGTCGCTCATCTCCAGCTTCTATTTTAGTATGTTTTTCGAATCCCAACCAGCCTACCGGTGCTTAATCTTACAGAGACCCCCAGCTGTGAGTGGTTACCATGAGAAGCAAGGGGGGGTGAGAGTAGATACCTCTCGGGATCTTTTGTTCTTTTGCTGAAATTTTTTTTTTTTTGACTGTTCCATTCAGTGTGTCTGCCTGTGTGCTAAACACTCTACCTACTATATTCAATCCATTCCTCACAACTTTATGGGGCAGGGATCACCATTAACTCCATTTTAGAGATGAGAAGAATGAGAGCTTAAGCAACTTCCCCAGGGACACCAGCTAGTAAGTGGCAGAATATAAGACCCAAGTCCCTGCTTCGTTGCAGGTGAGACGTGTAAGCCGCGTTAGTAAGAAAGCAAAGAGAAAGCAGCAGGAGACTATGCAGCTGTCTGTGAAAGATGCCATGTTTCTGCGGGCGAAGAGCTACACTCTGTACAGGATAGGAGTGTCCAGCCCAACCCCACACCAGTTCAGTCAGTTTCTCAGGGTGAGTCTGGACACTCGTGTTTTCGACAGCTTCCCCCAGTAATTCTAATCAGCAGCTGTGGCTGAGAATCACTGCTCTAGACTCAGGCAGGAGGTGGAGAGGGGAGAGAAGAGAACCCTTTTAGGGCTTTGAGGGCCTTAGAGCAAACCTTAGAAGGAGGGGGCATTCTGGGAGGGCAGGGGTCCCTGACGCAAACCCCTGCCCTCACCTGATAGTGCATCAGCGTGTTGAGCCGCTTCCAGTCACCCTCGATCTTGGTGGTGATGTCCTCGTCCTGCAGCACGACCCGGGCAATCCGGCCTTGACGCCACTCTGGGTGGAGGGGTGGTGCAGGAGCAGTGTGAGGGGCGGGGGCCGGGACTGCCCAGTCGTGGGGTCCTCTAGGGGCCTGGCAACCCCGGCTCCCTCAAGCTGGTGCAATGACAGTGTTTCAGGCGTCTGGGGCTCCGGGGGTGTCAATGCTGGCAAAAGCATGGGCCTCCCCAGAGGTGGCCACATCTGAGTGGGCAGTGTTTCAGGCACGCATTTCACCTGACCCCTCACCTGGACGGGACCCAGTCATGCCCTGACGAGGGGCTGTCTGCGGGGCAGGGCTTCCCCCCCACACCCCTGCCATAGCCCAAATGCCCTCCTGGAAGTTGCCCTCACACTCCAAGGCCAGGTTTCCTACCCAAGTCCATGTCAACAGCCCTCGGCCGCTGGGAGTAGGGCACGTTCTTGTACACGGCATCGAGAATCTTCTCTTTGACCTGCGTGATGGTGTCACAGTTCAACACCTTCACTGGGATCTCCGGACTGTTCTCGTTGTCAGGGTTGACGCAGTTCAGGATCTACAGGTGGCGATGGAAGAGGGACAGGATGCGAGTTGAAGGAGCCATTTGGGGGAGAGGGCGTGAGGCCCTGGAGCCTTCTCTTACCCAGGCTCCCCCTCCTCACAGGAGAAACGGGTGTCCCTCTGTCTGTGTCTCAGTTTCTCTCACCTTCCAGACATCTGCCAATGACAGCTTGAGTCCTTCTGCCCACCTCTCTTTCTCAGAGAGACAGGATTCTACTTTCTAGCCCCTGATGGCTTAGGGGAGGCTGTCATCCTGGGTGGAGACGTCCTGGGGGATCAGGGGTGCCTCCAGGTGTTGCAAGGGCTGGCCTCCCACTTCCCCGAAGCCTCTATATTAGAGATCAGCAGACTTCTTCCCCGTCATGCTAATTTCCCCACAGCTAATGCTGAGTGATCTAGGGTAAACGCAGGCGATGCAAGCTCTTTAGGCCCACCCAATGTGATAGGAGAGGAGGGGCCCAGGCCTGTGTGTCCGCCCTTGGGACACTTGGCATGCCCCCTGGACTGGCCCCCAGGCCGGCCTCCCAGCCTGTTTATTGACCCCTCAAACTGGCTTTGTGGTGAGAAGGCAGAGCACAGATTAGAGGCAGGAGGTCCGTGCTGTCCCCTGGGCTTCCTGCCTCCTCACCAGGGTCTTGTAGTCGATCTGCTGCCGGATGAGCTTGTCCTCGCTCAGGGAGTAGCGGGCCTCGCCCGTGATGGCATCGATGGGGCCCTTCTCCATCTGCTGCTTGATGGCGCAGTACAGCATGAAGAGCGGCTCCCCCGCACACTCCTGTGGGCGGACGCAGGGCGTAGGTGGCGGGGTACCAGCCTCCTTCCCTCCCTCTCCCGACCCTATTTCTAGGCCCGCTTGGCTTTGGGGCACCCAGCCAGGTAGGTTTCTGTTCCTAAGGGGGGGTCCCCATGCAGCCCTGATGGCCAGGCTCAGAGGGGCAGCTCCCCATCTTGCTCTCAACTCCCAGTTCCTGTCTCACTCCCAGGCTCACCTTCAGGAACTTGTGCAGGAGGAAGGCAAACCAATTGGTCAGCATCTTCTCAGCCACGGACTCTGTCCTGGGGAGGCAGAAGGGATAAGGGCAGTCCTTTATGGAGGGGTCTAAGGGTGGGGGTGTGCCTAGGTTGTTGTGTGGACCAGGGTTCAAGAGAACAAGGGCATGAAAGAAGCCAGGGCTGGGGGCCAGGACACTGTGTCCTGTCCCAACGCTACCAGTAATGAGAAGCGAGACCTTGGGCTAGAGGCTTCTTTCTGGACCTCAATTTCCAGCAAAAATGGAGTGGTGCCATGGGTCTGCAGACACAGGGACCAAGAATACCATCCTCTTACCCTCTTCCAGCCTCAGGGTGATGGAGTTTCTGTGTCCCTTTGGGATTTCCTGCATGTCTGAATATCTGCATGTCCACAAGGTCCCTGGTACCTTCCCCTCCAAACAGAGTCAGACTGCCTGGGTTCAAATCCTGACTCTGCTGCGTACTGGCCTGTGTGATCTTGAGTAAGTCATTTCGTCTCTCTGGGTTCAGTTTCCCCATCTCTAAATGGGGATGATAATAATAATAACCATCATCATCATCATCATCATCATCATCTATCCCACAGGGTTGTTGTCAAGGTTGAATGAATTAATGTATGTAAAGTGCTAAGAATAGTGCATATACCTGCTCGCTGTCATCACTGTCCTGCGGGGTCGTGGATCCCAGACCCTCAGGTAAAGAGCAGTGTGTGCAAGTGTTTAGCTGACAGGGGATCTGCCTCTGTAAGCACCGCCCCTTCGTCCTGCCCCACCCCCATCATCCCAGGCTGCAGATCTGGGGACCTGCGAAGGAACGAAGTGGCTGTGACAGACCCGCAGTGATGGGGATGCCGGAGGGGTATTTTAACTCGCTGCACGTGGTGCAAATAATACCCTCCGGTTGCCGTAAATCCCAGGCATTTGCCAGGGCTGCTCAGCAATGCGGGCCTGGGAGAGAGTGACAATGGCAGGAGAAATTGTGGCTCTCTCCCTGGCCCCTCCCAGCACCCTCTCCCTGCATTGTGCCTGAGATTAGCTCTAATTTAAATACAACAGTTCTTAATGAGAGTTTCTAATGCTCAGATTGGCAGAATGGGGGCTCTGTACTCATAAAACAAAGCTATTCTTTCTACCTCCTCACCCCACATGGGGTCTGGAAGCCTGAGATCTTGCAAGGAGAAGGCTGCCGAGAAGGCAGTGAAATAGAGGTGGCACATTCCAAGCCCTGCTGCCAGCTGAGCTCCAAAGCTGTGCTGGGCTCCCCAGGGCCCCCAGAGAGGGTAGGCTCGGGGATGGATGGCCAAGGTCTCTGACCCTCCTCCCTGCCAGGAAAATGGCAACCGAGGAGGGAGTGGTGGTGGATGCTGGTGATTCAGATCCAGGAAGCCGGGCACTGATGGGAGAGGCCACACCGTATCTCCAGCTGGGTGCTGTCCAACAGAGCCCCTGCTATGATGGGAATGGCCTCTATCTGTGCTTCCAATATGGCGGCCACTGAGCATTTGGGATGCAGTTAGTGCAATGGAGGAACTGAATTTCACATTTTCTTTTAAATTAATGGTCACATGTGCTACTGTGTTGGACAGTGAAACTCAGGATGCATGGGGAGGGAGACTTCAAGACAGGTATTATTAGTGCCATTTTGTTCACGAGGAAACTAAACAGCAGAGTGGCCACATCACTGGCCCAAGATCACACGACTAGCAGGTAGCAGAGCCGGGGTTCAAGCTCAGATGCTCTGGGGCCTGTGCTCCTGCATCACGCTCAGCACCTGCAGACACGGCACAGCCACCCGGACTGAAGCAAGATGAGACTCTGCACTGGGAGCTGCAGGGACACAGGCCTTCCTGGGTGGGGGCGCCTTCTCGTGGGACCCACACTAACCAGCCCTGCCCCCCGACCCCGGACGTCCCTGTTTAGATGCCTCCCCGCCCCTGGCGCAGGTCAGACCTCCGGAGAAGCAGCTTGGGGTGGTTCTTGTTCTCCAGGTTCTTATCGATGAGGTCGGAGAGCAGCTGCTTGAGGACGTCGGTGGCGTACTCCAGGCGGCCCTGCAGGCCGGTCATGATGAGTGAGGCCACGTTGCCGCGGTCCCGCATGGAGAAGCTGCGCTGCAGCTCCAGGGTGCGGATGAAGGTCAGCAGGAACACCTTGTTGTTGATGAGCTGGGCGAAGAGCTTCAGGGCCTTCTCCACGTGCTGCTGCCCGTTGCCCTGCACCTGGGATGGGTGTGATGGGCGTGGCTTCAGAGGACGAGCTTCCGGCTCTCCGGGAGGGTGTTGGCTGATGACGATGCCAGCTATAGGACCCTCTCCATGACGCCTGTAACCGCCCCACCCTCGGTGATGTAGGAATAACTGGTCCCTGAGGTCTGCAGTCTGCTCTGACTTCCCCCTGGGTTGAGAGGGTTGGGCTCCAGGTAGAGACCTCAGAGAGGATGCTATTCATCTGATTTTCCCAAGGATGCAACACAACAGGAGATACCGCAGCAGACTAGCTTGGTTCACTAGTCTCCCCTTAATCTCCTCTGCCCTGATTTATTATCTTTAGTAAAACAAACTGAGAAATGAAAAAAACAAGCCTCACAGAATCATAGGTCTTTCCTTAAGCCAGCTTAAATCCATTCGGAAATGAGGCAGAATCTTAGTTAATTAATTCAGTCATTAATTAAAAAATGACAAATAATCAGCTTTCCCCTGGAATCATCCCAAAGAGCCTGGGTGCCCCCCCAGCTGTGATTTTCCTGGTTGGAAATATCCCCGTTACGGTGATGCTTCTACAAGCTATTTCTCCTCCTCACTCCTGACCTTCTTCTGAGCACTGGGCCCCACTGGCATTTCCTAGGAAACCCAGGCCCCACGTCCCTGCTGGGCAGCTGGGTGAGGGAGGCGGGTGTTACCTCCAGCTCACGCAGGACGGGATGGTCCTCAATGCCGGGGAACAGGACTCGCATAGCATAGGTCCGATAGTCCAGGTAGGGGATTCCTGAGCGGTCCAGGTCACTGGTCAGCTCGTTGATGTCTGTCTGGAGCTCGGCAAAAGCTATGAAAGTGCAGTGGAGACAGGGAAGCTCAGGAGGGGAATGCAGGCCGGGGAGGGGAAAGGCGGGAGAAGTTCGTGGAGGAGGGAAGGGCCAGGTGTAGAGACAGGGAGGGTTATAGGGGTGCATCTCCAGGGGCGATGAGATATCTCCAGTCTGCCTTTCTTAGGTGGTGGGACTATGGGTGATTTTTATATTATTTCCTCCTCTATGCTTACCTATAATTTTGAATTTTCTTTCTATGTATTATAAGTGTAGTTAAAACAAAGGAAGCCCATGACTTGGGTCATGCAGGTGATACAGGTGCTAGAAGCAGGTGAGAGGCAGTGGTCGAACAGATCAAACAAAGACCAGAATAGGTAGCTTTGCTCCCCTTTTCCAAGCAAGAGAATAAACCAAGATGCAAAAACCTTGGGGGAAAATGAAAATCAAAACCACCATGAGATACCACTTCATACCCATTAGGATGGCTGTTATAAAAAAAGTGGAAAATAACATGTGTTGGCTAGGATGTGGAAAAACTGGAACCCTCATATCTTGCTGGAGGGAATATAAAGTGGTACAGCTGCTCTGGAAAGCAATTTTGTGATTCCTCCAAAAATTAAACATAGAATTACCAAATGACCCAGCAATTCCTCTCCTACATATACACCCAAAAGAACTGAAAGCAGGGACTTGAACAGATGCTTGTACCCTCACGTTCACAGCAGCATTATTCATGATACCAAAAGGTGGAAACAACCCAAATGTCCATTGATGGATGAATTGATAAGTAAAATGTGGTTTATATACCCAATGGACTATTATTTAGCCTTAAAAAGGAATGAAGTTCTCTCAAATGCTACAACATGGATGAACCTTAAAGACATGATGCTAAGTGAAATAAACCAAACACAAAGGGACATATGCTGTGTGATGCCATTTATATGAGTTTCCTAGAGTAGTCAAATTCATAGAGACAGAAAGTGGGAGAGGAGGGTGAGGGATTATTGTTTCATGAGTACAGAGTTTCGGTTGGGGAAAATGTGGAAGTTCTGGAGACGGTTGGTGGTGATGGTCACACGATGCTGTGAATGTATTTAATGCCTCTTAATCCCTTTTTAAATAACCAATTAACTTCTGTGCACAGAAGTGGAGAGAGCACTAGGGTGCAAAGATAAGAAAGTTAAAATGGTAAATGTTATGTTATATATATTCAACATTCACACTCACACATGAACGAAACTGAGAACACCACCAAACCCAGACTTAGGGAGCCCTGACCACCAGGCCCTTGGCCAAACAGGGGCTTCCCCTTGGTGGCAGACCTGTCTCCTGACGCCCTCCTTGCTCCTCCCCAGCCCTGGCGCTGGGAGGAGCCTGGCCCACTTTGCCCCAGCCCAGCTCTTCCCTTTCATCCAGCAGAGGGCTTGTTCTGATCTTGAAGTTTGCAGCAAAAGGAGAAGTCTTTTGATTCCTAATTGAGATGTTTACCCAGGGAGTCTTCCAGGTCCTCAGCCCAAGGGGACACCAGGTAGCTGTGGTTGCTTGGGAGACAGAAGAAACACTGTCTCCACCACCACAGCCTGGGATGCCCTGCAAGTGGCCTTCAGAGGCTCAGCCTGCAGTACTGGCTGAAGTCACAATGTGGGGGAGGGGATGGGGTGGAAGGGAGGGCATGTGCTCTCACCTTTCCTGCTGCTCCAAGGCAGCCAGGCAAAAGGAGCTGTCACTCCTACGTGGGGATCTAGAGTCTGAGGCAACAGGGCCCAGGAGGCTCTGACTGTGGGGAGACTGCGGTCCCGGGAAGGAGAGTAGGCTGGGCCAGACTGTGGGATGAGTCAGGGCACAGGGGGACAGAATAATGGGATCAGGTCTGGGGCCTTACTGTGGGCATTTTAAGGGCAAAGGAAGTTTAAGAGAAAACAGAGGTCAAAGTGGAGCAGGGTGGCTTGTGGTAGAAGAGATGGGAGCAAAGATGAGAGCTATTTTAGGGAGGGGGGTAATAAAGCTGGTGAGGAAAGAGGGTCCCAGAAACGAGGGAGTGCCTCCACTTACCTTCCTTACACTCCAGGGCCACACGGGACTCCAGGTTGTCCATCTGCATTTGGAGCCGCTTGAGAGTGAGGTCATTTTCTCGAGACTTGCGCTTGTAGGCGATGAGCACAATGATGACGATGATGAGCAGTAGGCTGCCGCCTGCCGCGATGCTGACGATGGCTGGCAGGGTCAGCAAGCTATCTGAGATGACACTCACCGAGCCGGGCGAGAATACCATGCCACCCACGTGGACCTGTGCATGGCACACACACGGTCACTGTAGAGCCCTGGCATCCAATCCTTCTTGATCCAGAAAGGGCATGAGAGACCACAACCACACAGTGCAGTCTGGATACAAAACAACTTCCTGCTTATCATCTGCCTTTCTTTTCTTGTGTTCTTAGCTCCTACCCATTTTAATATAGCACTTTGTGATGAGGAGATATGGAGGAGGTTGAAGACCCTTTCTTTATGACAGATTATACATGAAAGATGAGGAGGGGAGGAATAATAAGATGGTTCACTCACCATGACCTTGTGCTGCCCAGTGAGGTTGGGAGGCTCGCAGAGCAGTTGTGTCTCGGACACAGTGACAGTGCATGGGGTCTCTCCAATCAGCACAGTGTAGTTGAGTTTGGCACCTCCAGAAGCAGGAGGGCAGAGGTTTTTGCCCTGTAGGTAAGAGCAATCTTAATAGGAATAATTGACACATGTGCACAGAAGTTAATTGGTTATTTAAAAGGAGATTAAGACCAGTCCCTCCCATCAAGAAGCTTCCACAAGCCTCTTAGATAGCTTCATCCACCAGAGAGCAGACAGCAGAAGCAAGAAGAACTACAATCCTGCAGCCTGTGGAACAAAAACCACATTCACAGAAAAATAGACAAGATGAAAAGGTAGAGGTAGAGGGCTATGTACCAGATGAAGGAACAAGATAAAACCCGAGAAAAACAACTTAATGAAGTGGAAATAGGCAACCTTCCAGAAAAAGAATTCAGAATAATGATAGTGAGGATGATCCAGGACCTCGGAAAAAGAATGGAGGCAAAGATCGAGAAGATGGAAGAAATGTTTAATAAAGACCTAGAAGAAATAAAGAACAAACAAACAGAGATGAACAATACAATAACTGAAATGAAAACTACACTAGAAGGAATCAATAGCAGAATAACTGAGGCAGGAGAACGGATAAGTGACCTGGAAGACAGAATGGTAGAATTCACTGCTGCGGAACAGTGAATGAAAAAGAAATGAAGAAGAATGAAAAGAATGAAGAATGAAAAGAAATGAAGAGAGCCTAAGAGACCTCTGGGAAAACACTAAACGCAACAACACTCGCATTATAGCGGTCCCAGAAGGAGAAGAGAGAGAGAAAGGACCCGAGAAAATATTAGAAGAGATTATAGTCAAACACTTCCCTAACATGGGAAACGAAATAGCCACCCAAGTCCAGGAAGCACAGAGAGTCCCATACAGGATAAACCCAAGGAGAAGCACGCCGAGACACATAGTAATCAAATTGGCAAAAATTAAAGACAAAGAAAAATTATTGAAAGCAGCAAGGGAAAAACGACAAATAACATACAAGGGAACTCCCATAAGGATAACAGCTGATACCTCAGCAGAAACTCTACAAGCCAGAAGGGAGTGGCAGGATATACTTAAAGTGATGAAAGGGAAGAACTGACAACCAAGATTACTCTACCCAGCAAGGATCTCACTCAGATCCGATGGAGAAATCAAAAGCTTTACAGACAAGCAAAAGCTAAGAGAATTCAGCACCACCTAACCAACAAACACTAAAGGAACTTCTCTAACTGGGAAACACAAGAGAAGAAAAGGACCTACAAAAACAAACCCAAAACAATTAAGAAAACGGTAATAGGAACATACGTATTGATAATTACCTTAAACATGAATGGATTAAATGCTCCAACCAAAAGACACAGCCTTGCTGAATGGATACAAAAAACAAGACCCATATATATGCTGTTTACAGGAGACCCACTGCAGACCTAGGGACACATACAGACTGAAAGTGAGGGGATGGAAAAAGATATTCCATGCAAATGGAAATCAAAAGAAAGCTGGAGTAGCAATAATAATATCAGATAAAATAGACTTTAAAATAAAGAATGTTACAAGTGACAAGGAAGGACACTATATAATGATCAAGGGATCAATCCAAGAAGAAGATATAACAATTATAAATATTTATGCACCCAACATAGGAGCACCTCAATACATAAGGCAACTGCTAACAGCTCTAAAAGAGGAAATCAACAGTAACACAATAATAGTGGGGGACTTTAACACCTCACTTACACCAACGGACAGATCATCCAAACAGAAAATTAATAAGGAAACACAGCTTTAAATGACACAATAGACCAGATAGATTTAATTGATATTTATAGGACATTCCATTCCAAAACAGCAGATTACACTTTCTTCTCAAGTTTGCACAGATCATTCTCCAGGATAGATCACATCTTGGATTACAAATCAAGCCTCAGTAAATTTAAGAAAATTGAAATCATGTCAACCATCTTTTCTGACCACAACACTATGAGATTAGAAATCAATTACAGGGGAAAAAACACAAACACATGGAGGTTAAACAATACGTTACTAAATAAGTAAGAGATCACTGAAGAAATCAAAGAGGAAATCAAAAAATACCTAGAGACAAATGACAATGAAAACACGATGATCCAGAACCTATGGGATGCAGCAAAAGCAGTTCTAAGAGGGACGTTTATGGCTATACAAGCCCACCTCAAGAAACAAGAAAAGTCTCAAATAAACAATCTAACGTTACACCTAAAGGAACTAGAGAAAGAAGAACAAACAAAACCCAAAGTTAGCAGAAGGAAAGAAATCATCAAGATCAGAGCAGAAATAAATGAAATAGAAACAAAGAAAACAATAGTAAAGACCAATAAAGTAAAAGCTGGTTCTTTGAGAAGATAAACAAAATTGATAAACCATTAGCCAGACACATCAAGAAAAAGAAGGAGAGGACTCAAATCAATAAAATTAGAAATGAAAAAGAAGAAGTTACAACAGACACCCCAGAAATACAAAGCATCCTAAGAGACTATTACAAGCAACTCTATGCCAATAAAATGGACAACCTGGAAGAAATGGACAAATTCTTAGAAAGGTATAACCTTCCAAGACTGAACCAGGAAGAAATAGGAAATATGAACAGACCAATCACAAGTAATGAAATTGAAACTGTGATTAAAAAGTTTCCAACAAACAAAAGTCCAGGACCAGATGGCTCCACAAGTGAATTCTATCAAACATTTAGAGAAGAGCTAACACCCATCTTTCTCAAGCTCTTCCAAAAAATTGCAGAGGAAGGAATACTCCCAAACTCATTCTATGAGGCCACCATCACCCTGATACCAAAACAAGATAAAGATGCTACAAAAAAAGAAAATTACAGACCAATATCACTGATGAATATAGATGCAAAAATCCTCAACAAAATGCTAGCAAACAGAATCCAACAACACATTAAAAGGATCACACACCGTGATCAAGTGGGATTTACTCCAGGGATGCAAGGATTCTTCAATATACACAAATGAGTGAATGTGATACACCATATCAACAAATTGAAGAATAAAAACCATATGATCATGTCAAAAGATGCAGAAAAAGCTTTTGACAAAATCCAACACCCATTTATGACAAAAACTCTCCAGAAAGCGGGCATAGAGGGAACCTACTTCAACATAATAAAGGCCATATACTACAAACCCACAGCAAACATCATTCTCAATGGTGAAAAACTGAAAGCATTTCCTCTAAGATCAGGAACAAGACACGGATGTCCACTCTCACCACTATTATTCAACATAGTTTTGGAAGTCCTAGCCACAGCAATCAGAGAAGAAAAAGACATAAAAGGAATACAAATTGGAAAAGAAGAAGTAAAACTGTCACCGTTTGCAGATGACATGACACTATACATAGAGAATCCTAAAGATGCCATCAGAAAACTACTAGACCTGGTCAATGAATTTGGTAATGCTGCAGGATACAAAATTAATGCACAGAAATCTCTTGCATTCCTATACACTAATGATGAAAAATCTGAAAGAGAAATTAAGGAAAGTCTCCCATTTACTACTGCAACAAAAAGAATAAAATAGCTAGGAATAAACCTACCTAGGGAGACAAAAGACCTGTATGCAGAAAACTATAAGACACTAATGAAAGAAATTAAAGATGATATCAACAGATGGAGAGACATACCATGTTCTTGGATTGGAAGAATCAATATTGTGAAAATGACTATACTACCCAAAGCAATCTACAGATTCAATTCAATCCCTATCAAATTACCAATGGCATTTTTTACAGAACTAGAACAAAATGTCTTAAAATTTGTATGGAGACACAAAAGACCCCAAATAGCCAAAGCAGTCTTGAAAGAAAAAAACGGAGCTGGAGGAATCGGACTTCCTGACTTCAGACAAAGCTACAGTAATCAAGACAATATGGTACTGGCACAAAAACAGAAATATAGATCAATGGAACAGGATAGAAAGCCCAGAGATAAACCCACGCACCTATGGTCAACTAATCTATGACAAAGGAGGCAAGGATATACAATGGAGAAAAGACAGTCTCTTCAATAAGTGGTGCTGGGAAAAGTGGACAGCTATATGTAAAAGAATGATATTAGAACACTCCCTAACACCATACACAAAAATAAACTCAAAATGTATTACACACCTAAATGTAAGACTGGGCACTATAAAACTCTTAGAGGAAAACATAGGAAGAACACTCTTTGATATAAATCACAGCAACATATTTTTTGATCCACCTCCTAGAGTAATGGAAATAAAAACAAAAATAAACAAATGGGACCTAATGAAACTTAGAAGCTTTTGCACAGCAAAGTAAACCATAAACAAGACGAAAAGACAACCCTCAGAATGGGAGAAAATATTTGCAAATGAATCATCGGACAAAGGATTAATCTCCAAAATATATAAATAGCTCATGCAGCTCAATATTAAAAAAATAAACAACCCAATCCAAAAATGGGCAGAAGACCTAAATAGACATTTCTCCAAAGAAGACATACAGATGGCCAAGAAGCACATGAAAAGATGCTCAACATCACTAATTATTAGAGAAATGCAAATCAAAACTACAATGAGGTATCACTTCACACCAGTTAGAATGGGCATCATCAGAAAATCTACAAACAACAAATGCTGGAGAGGGTGTGGAGAAAAGGGAACCCTCCTGCACTGTTGGTGGGAATGTAAATTGATACAGGCACTTGGAGAACAGTATGGAGGTTCCTTAGAGAACTAAAAATAGAATTACCATATGACCCAGCAATCACACTAGTGGCCATATACCCAGAGAAAACCATAGTTCAAAAAGACACATGCACCCCAATGTTCAATGCAGCACTATTTACAATAGCCAGGTCATGGAAGCAACCTAAATGCGCATCAACAGACGAATGGATAAAGAAGATGTGGCACATATATACAATGGAATATTACTCAGCCATCAAAAGGAACAAAATTGGGTCATTTGTAGGGACGTGGATGGATCTAGAGACTGTCATACAGAGTGAAGTAAGTCAGAAAGAGGAAAACAAATATCGTATATTAACGCACATATGTGGAACCTAGAAAGTGGTACAGATGAACCGGTTTGCCGAGCAGAAATTGAGACACAGAAGTAGAGAAAAAACAGATGGACACCAAGGGAGGAAAGCGGTGGGGTGGTGGTGGTGGTGGTGTGCTGAATTGGGAGATTGGGATTGACATTTATTCATTGATGTGTATAAAATGGATGACTAATAAGAAAAAAAATTTGATAGTGGAATGGACTTGGAATCTTTCATCACCTTACACGGTTCCTTGAACTTTGTAGGTGTCTGAAATAATATTCAATAATTCTTTGCCAGCTGTTGATCTTAATGAACTAAATAAGGCTTTTGTCTTAGCTTTCTTAATAAGTTATAACACAGAGAAAAGTGCATAAGTTTAACTATAAACTTATGACTTATGTGAGTTATCTGAACTCCCATTAGTATTACCACTACTCAGATCAAGAAACAGAATTTTCCCAGGATCTCGGAAGCCTTCCTTATACCATTTCCTCATCATGACCCCTGCTTTCTGCCCCCAAAGTAACCATTATCTTCACCATAAATTTGTTTTGCCCAGTTTTGAATTTTTAAAAAAGAAACCATACAATGTATATCATTTTATGTCTGCCTTGTTTTGCTGAATATTGCTCATGAGTTTTATTTCTGTTGTTGCTTGTAGCAATGCTCACTTATTTTTATTGTCTTCTATATTTTATTATATAAATGCAAAATATATTCTAATGTTGATGAACAAAATAAATAAATAAAAATAAAAAGAGATTAAAGAGGCGGGGTAAGGGGAGCAATGCAAAAACCAATGAGTGACTCCATGGTAAGTTTTTGGAGAGGACTTCTAACAGCCACAATTTAGACAGAAAAAGAGAAAACAAAGGGAAGAGAGAATGAAAGGGAGGAAGAGAGTGGTAAAGAGAAAGGAAGGGGGGACCAAACAGTAAACAAGTGAAAGTTTGGGGGAGGATGCAGGGGATAGAAGTGAAAGTGGTAGAGTAACACACACCTGGAAGGATGGTACCAGGGGACCGTGACCTCTTCACATCTGAGGGCAGTTACTGCGGCCACGGATGGGGTCAATAAAGGACATCGTTGCTTCCAGTGCACTGCAGGACTTTTAGGTCCCAAAGCTCACAAGGACACACAGAAATACTCTACGGTGTTCCTTGAGAATCCCAAGTGCAAGATATGTCACTCAATGGGTCGATATGTATAACTAAGCTCCCTTCACAGGGAGATGACAGCCATGTGAGCCCGTGTGCATCGAAGGGAGGCCAGGCCAGGAGAGGGGTGCTCTGGCCACCCCTGCGTGTGGCAGGCAGCCATCCCACCCTCCTACCTTCAGAATGATGGGGGATCCCGGCTTTTGATCCAAGACCCCAGTGGGGCTGAGCAGTTCAAAGGTCGGGTTGGGGTAGTAGATGAACTTGGTGTCGTTGTAAATCAGCAAGGACTGGACATTGTTAAAGACGAATCCAAACTCGTCCGGCCGTTCCACGGTGTCCAGGCCGGGCCGGTGGTCTGTGGTCAGGGAGGGTGCCAGGCAGGTCAGGGTGGTGGTGTTCACAACCTTGCACACCTAAAGGGCCCAAGAGCACGGCGTTCAAACACCCAGCAGGTGATGGTGGGGGTCATACTGCCGCCTTCCCACCCTTTGCTTGTTTTGGCCAGTCTCCAGTGGGCTACTTGCTTGAGGAAAAGGGCTGTGAAGTTGTTTTTTTTCTTTTTTGGCAGGGAGGGGCGTGTTTTAACTTCATTTATTCATTCACCAACACTGAGTGAGCACCTACTTTGTGCCAGGAATGGTGCCAGTAGTTGGGCCATCCGTGAAACAGTCTCAGTCTATCGGGGAGACAAATGATTTGACAAGCATTACAGTGCAGTCCTGGCAGAGGGCCTGGAGCACAGGAGGGGCACCAGCACTGTTAAATGCATGGATGGAGGTGAGAAACGTCCGGGTTGGGGAAGTACCAGGCACTCTGTGGGTGTCCGTGTGTGTGCATGAGCCTGTGTTTGTGCGCGAGCGTGCATGGCCTGAGGCAGGGTGAGGGTGGCTCATGGGAGCTTTCCTTTGGAAGAGGTGAATGAAATTTAACCTGAAGAATGTGTAGGACTTACCCAGACAGGGGGGATGGTAAGGGATCAAGTCCCTGGCAGAGAGAACAGCAGCAAAGGTCTGGGGATGAGGGAGCATGGATGTTTGTGGAAAAAGTAGGACAGAAGCAGTCTCCCGCACGCGCGCGCGCGCGTTTGTGTGTGTGTGTGTGTGTGTGTGTGTGTGTGTGTGAGATGGAAGGAAGGAAGTTGTGTGAGATGAGCACATAGTAGGTGTTCAGTTAATGTTTATTGAAAACACTGATGGATGAAAAGGATCCTTCACCTCCTTAAATGTTTTAGTCAGGATCTCTCTCTTCTCCAACCGAGTGCCCCCTAACTCTCCATGGGGGTATAACCTTGGTATTGACACTGAGTTCATAATGTCCTTTCTTCCTTGGTGGACCCTCATCTCCCAAATAACATCCTAGCTGAGGTGGCCCCGTGTGGCATGTGTTGTGCCATTCTCTCCTCTGGTGGTTTAGTTTGAGGGCTTCCCAAGGCAGCAGTCAGATTGAAGAAAGCGCTCTAGGACCCACGTGTGATCTGGGAAGAAAACCTGGACCCCTCCCCACCTCCTCCTGTCTCGCGCTGCGTGGCTCAGTTTTGGCTCTGGGAGTCACAGTGTCCCAGCAACAGCCAAGGGCATCTGTGAGAACCCTGCTCAAGTACACACTGTCCTGGCAGGTCCACACATGTTGCGTGTCTGGCCAACACACACATACCCAGGCTTCATGTTCGGAAAACAAGACCATGTGTGAAATTGCAAAAAAAGCTGATGCTTGCATAGAAATTATGTCAGAGCTCCAAGTCTTAACCCTCCCTTTCCAGAGGGAGTTGAAGAGTTTAAACCAACAGCTCGCCGAGGGCTTCGTGCCATGTCGGAGGTTAGTACGCATCCCCGCCCTTTTCAGCTCACCCTTCAGCAGCCCCTTGTGAACCTAATGTCCCTTTCCCGTTCCAGCTGGGGACACCCTGGCATGAGGAAAATGGTGGTGCGGTCAAACAAGAGTTGAGCTGGGAGTCCCCTCCCTGGGCTCCACGGGGCAGACCTCCCAGCCCAAGGACCGCTTCCCTGCCCCGCCCCTCATCTTCCTCCCTGCTCACTCCAGTGTCCCTGGATGGGACTCCTCTGTGAATGAGCAAATCACCCCCAGACAAACGGCCTCCATTTGCTCTCTGCCCAGCGCTGCATCGGCACTTTGCCAAACATTCCTTTGGGTTTTGCGGCCTTCGCTTTGGCCCTTCTCACGGGCTGCTTCCAAACCCAAAGGCAGGGGGTAGCCCCTGGGGACTGAGGATGACGTGGAGCCCAGGTAGGGCCTCAGGGGCAACATGGTTCTTTCTCACCACTCCTGAAAGAGAGGGCATCGGGCGGAGTTTACGGGCTTCCCATGCTGGGGCCCGGCTTGGTGGAAACCTGCACACCCAGGCCTTTCCTCCAGGCTGCCTGCCAGCCTGCAGACTCCAAGCAGGTCCCTGTTGGAGTTCAGGGCCCCGAATGCTCGAGAGGCAGGAGCTGTCTCTTAACTCCTTGAAGCACTGAGGTCCTGGTGGGTGGGCTGGGAGAACTGCTGGGGAGATTCCTGCCTGGGGCTGCCAACGTGTCCTGGCGGGCGCACAGGACGCCCAGGACCCAAGCCTTCTCAGGGCTGCCAGGTGTGGGGAGGCCTGCCCAGCCCAGTCTTCTCTTCCAATAGCTTCCCGGGGACCAATGCTGCAGCCTTTGGAGGTTAATCTTGTCAGTCATGCACTCATCCTCCAAAATTCCCTCTGTACTAGATTAACCACGTCTTTTCTTTTCTGTGTTCTGAGGCTTTAACCTCTGGGGCCTTGCTGGTCCTGGAGGGGCTGCCCCTCCCCAGGCTGGCCAACTCCTAGAGACAGCAAACAGATGGAGGTGTCCTGGGGACACTGAGCCTCGGTCTGGAAGTGGGGCGGGGGCACCCCTCTTTCACTCATGGATCACGCTCTACGTTGGGATCTGGAGTTGTGTGCTCTTCTAGCCCAAAGAGCTGTGAGCACAGTGGGTCACTGGAGGTGTGATACAGGTGTCTCCACGTCTCCGGCATGATGAAATGTCAAGCCTGCCATCATCTCACGTGGTCTAGTTAGAAGAGTCAGGTGTTTGGGATCTAGCTTGGTCCTGCCACCAGCCACCTTCATGACTGGGGGCAAGTCATTACTGCTTTCTGGCCTTAGTTTTCTAAGCTATACAGTGAGAAGTTTGGACTAGATCATCCCTGAGACCTTTCCAGATCTAGCCTTCTGGCAGCCTGTCCCTTTCTGTATTTCTCTGTTGCCTAGGGAAGCCTCAAGCATGCTGGGAATGTGTCAGGGATAAGAGGGTAGATCCAACACCATCTCGCCCATCTCCGTCTCCATCTCAGCCTCGTCAATGCCCAGAAGGTCAAAGCAGTAATTCATATGAAAAATAATGGCCGTAATAGCACCTCCTGGACTATAATTATGAATACAATAACATTTCAGAAAATATTGCCTGAAAAGAGAAGGATGGAGCCAGTAGAACGAACTAAAAAATTTATCACAACATAGCAGATATTCTGCTCTTACGATAGAGAACTTTTTTAACATCACAAAAATCCACAGTGGAAAAAAATTAAATTACATGGGTCTGCACAGAGGAATAAAGTGAAATGTTCAGCTTGATCATCTTAGCAACGAGGATGGAAATATCTGCATGCAGTGACTAACGTTTATCAGGTGCCAGCCTCGTTGCAGTTTACAGATCTGCGAGGCAAGTCTTATCATCAGCATTTCTAGCCAGGGAAGGGAGGATCAGAGACGTTAAACGACTTGATCATGGTTGTAGAGCTAATAGATGGTGGTGTTTTGTTTCCAATTCACAGATGTCTGAATCTGGATCCAGAATTTCTTCTCCCTCTCACCCTACCTCTTATCGGACCTCAAAGTGAACATGGCAGAAAACAGGAGCCCTTTTGCACCATATCTTAAGCTCAGAAGCCAGTATGTTTATACACTCATGACATCACCTTCTGACAAGAAATGATTATACTGTAATTATAAAAATCATTGTGAGGCCCAGGTGTTTGGGGCCATGATTCTGGACTCTTCTCTGGCGGTCGAATGTCCCCGTGCCTAACACAGACCTTATCACACTGCAAAACACAGACACAGCCATGTTTCCTGCAGACTGAGGGGACTCGTGGTTACTCACATTGACAGATTCTTTGCCATTAAACTTGACTCGGATCCTTGGCTCCTGAATGACATCCAGGTTGAAGCCTGTGACGGTCAGGGGTGTGTGGCCGCTGGGAACAAGCAGAGTCTGGGTTAGGTGAAAAACCCTCTCCAACCGCTACCACTTGTCCCCCCAGGATCCTCACAGGAGCTGCAGTTTGGCAGAAGGGATCAGGTTGCACGGCAGCTGGGTGTATCCCCGCCCGCTCTGCCTCACCTGGCGATACTCCACTCGGGCTCGATGCGCTGCACCCGGGGGTCATCTATGTACTCGAACTGCAGGTTGTTGTCCACACGGGCTCGGTCGACACTCACAGAGACAGGGACGGGCCCCAGCCCATTGGATGACGGGGGCGAGACACACACGATCTCATTCATTGATCGCCTACAGGGAGACCGCAGGAGGGTTGTGAGCAAAGGCATGGGCAAGAGGTGCAGCCTCTGGCCTGAGAAGGGGTTTTCCCCGGTTGGGGGGTATGGCCCAGGAATGTTCTTCTGTCCTTTTATACTCTAGACTGGGGAACATCCCTCAGCAGTGTGTATCAGTGCTTCTCTTTACCTGAGATCCCACTCCAGATGGACTAGGGAGGGAGCCAACTGGAGAAGGGGATTAGAGAAGGTGGGGCAGGGGCAGGGCTCCTTGGGCTTTGGGGGAACTCCTCTTTTCTGGATTTTTCTAGACCATGACTATTTAGCCAGTGCTTAGTGTCTGGTCAGTCAGTTAATAAACTGAGCATCTGCTAGGCAGAGAAGCAAATATTCAGTCCTTGCCCTCAGGCAGTTTATGGTCCAGGGAGGAGATTTACTGGGCAAGTTGGGTTCTCATCCAGGGATCCTTTCAGAATTCTCTCTAGATTCTCCCAGGGCTTCATCAGAATATCTGACAAATAGTAGGTGTTCAATTTTTAGCGCATAAGAGATGCCCTGAGGATGAGTCTGTGCTTGCAGAGGACAGAGGCCATGCAATCTCCATGTTTCTCAAGTCACCATGGTGGGGACCTAATGAATGCTTGATCCTGGTGGTGACTGAGAGCTCCTGGGAACCTCCCTCATCAGCAGCTCTTATGGTCCTCACTTCTAAATATCTGTAGAAGTATTTAGCCCCTATGATACTCGCGATATAAATTGACTAGTGGTATATATTTCTTACAGTGACTGGAATGGTGTTTGGGCCCAGGACATGACACATAACATGGGGATGATGGGGCAGGCACATATGTGAACATGCACGGGAACATGTGTGCACAGGCCTCACGTGTACAGTCTCCTAGGGCTCCTTTGAGCCCATCTCACCCATAGAACTCGCAGGTCTGGTTGCCCAGGTAAACAGCCACGCTGCTCCCAGCCCCGAGGTAATGGCCCGTGATGGTCACCATGGTGCCTCCGGACTCTGGCCCTCGGATGGGGCTGAGTGACAACACGGAAGGGTTCTTTGGGAGGAAGCAGAGAAAGGATCACAGCTCAGGTTTTACCCAAAGAGAGAAACCAGGCTAGACTCAAAGACAGAAGGAGGGACTGTGTCCACGCTCAGAGTGAACCCTTTCTAATCCCAAACACTCTTTGCCTACCCTGGAGCTCAGACCCTTTCTAAGAAGAGGCTCCAGGCATATCCAGGGAAGGCAGAAGGGCCGTGTTTTGCAATTAATTAACTCCCCTGGGAGTCTTATGCTCATAACACTGTTGGGAAGGCAGAGATGACACTGACTAATCTATCAATTAGTTTGCAAATTGAGAACAATTTGAAAATGCTTCTCTATCTGGAGCGCATACTGATTTTTTTGGCACAAAATCGATAGGGCTGAATAAAGGATCCCTGCCTGGATTGGGCCACCAAGAGGATCCATTAATGGCCCACGCTTGTGTCCTTCCGTCCCTCCCTAAGCAAGAGAAGGGCACAACAGGTGCAGAGACCTGTCAGTAAATGTTAGATGCGTCTTCCCTGACCTTCACCAGGAGGATGGCCCATCGTTGGCTGGGATTTTCTAGTAAGCTCACTAAATCGTAAAATTAAGCCTGAAGCCTAAAAGAAATGTCATCTGGCCTAAAATGCATCAGAAAGAAATTGCTCCTGCCTAGCCGGCAGGGGAGTGGAGTGGAAAGTGCATTTAACTGAGCACCTACACAGGCATGAACTCTAGTCCGCATTAGCCACTCACTAGTGATGGGCCCTGAAGCAAGTTTCTGGATCACTCTGGGCTTTTGTTGCCTCCTCTGTCAAGACAGGAGAGTGGGCTACATGATCTGTAAAGCCCTCCCAGCTCTGACACTCTGCAGCTCTCTCCATCCAGTCTTTCTGGGTTTGCTTCTCACACGAGACCCTGTCTGTCCTGCACAGGAGATGGGGTAGGTGGGCTGCAGATATAGGCCATGGTATCCTCCCATCTGAGAGAAGACTGGTACAAGGAAAGGTGGAGATGCTGAGATAAGAAGGCAGAGACTGGAAAACCTAAAACAAGCAGTAAAGTGCTTTAGAGAGAAGAGAATTTTGTGGTCAAATAAATTTTCAATACTCTGAGCAAGGCTGGTTTGACCCCCTCCGCTGGTGTTAACACTTTTCAGTGAAGAACTTGATGTGGCAATGTTGCCTAGGTGTCAGAAAAGGGACTTTGGAGCCCCAGAAGCAGGTTGTTCAGCACGAGAAAATAAAGCCTTTGTGAGTCCACCATCTGTTGCTTGGGCGAGAAGAAGTGTTTCCAGGGCTGAGTGTGTGCATATGTGTGTGTAACCACACCAACACACAGAGCAGCTCACTCGTACATCCCACTCCCATGGTCCTGCACACAGACATGCGTTCCTGCAGGATTCCAAATGGCTCCTCTAAACTCCCACTTACAATATCCTTGGCAGAAAACAAAGCGTGTGGATAAATATAGACCTTTATAATTAGGTCCCTCAGATGATCTGTCCTCATTAGGCTGGAATTAGACAGAGATATCACATTGGTGGGACAAAGGGCAGCCCCTCCCTACCCGGTGTCTAGGATCCACTTTCTAAGAAAGGCCTGATTTTGCTTATTTAGAACTCTGACCTGTGGCTCTCTGGGACGCCAAAGTCTCCAAAGTGTTGTTGGTCATGCACTTGACCCACCCAGGAAAGACAGGCTTTCCCTTTTCTGGTCTCCTGCTCCATCTGCAAGAAGCCTGGAGGTGCCAGCTCGGGAGAGGGGTGGGTGGGACTTTCCTGGGAGAAGCCTGGAGCAGAAATATGCCCTTGCTAGAAGCCTGTAGCTCAGCACTAGACCCAATACTCACCACAAACGTGTACTGTTGATGGGATTTGGTCATGAACTCTGGCTTACACTCGCCAATGCACAGGCGCACGGGCCCAGAGGTGGTCCCCACAAGGGCATGGCCCATCTCACAAACGATCCTGAGGAGAGAGCAAACCTTTCCATGAGAGACCTGGGGAGAGCTGCATCCCTGCCCCAGCTTGCTCACCCCGTCATAGTCACAGTGAATGACTCATCACAGTCTTACAATAGTGCTGGACCAAGACTCAGTTTGCTCAACCATGTGGCTGTGTGACCTTGGGTAAAGTACTTTCCCGCTCTGGGCTTTAGTCTCTCATTGGTACAGTGAGAGGTTGGATGAGCTCAACGCTAAAGCCCTCGAAACGCTATGCTGCCTATTTCTATGAGCAAGCCTGTAGTCCCCGGTGCCTAGTGCAGGGCTTGGCATTGGGTACCAACCCAATATTTGTGGAATAAACCTAATGTTCAACAGAGAGATCTAGGGGCAGTAATTTAGTGCTCTTTTTCGTGTGACAAGCCAACGCTGCAACACTCCCGAGAAGAGGGAGTGAGGACTGATTTGCCAAGCTGATTCAATTGTGGTTTGTTTCCTGCAGTGAGGGAACAGATAATCTGGTGAGATAGTGAGTTCCCCAAACCGGAGCTCCCAGCTGAATGGGAGGAGTGGCATCCAGTGGCAGCAGGCGAGGGGGTGGGAGGTGGATGAGTTCATTAGGACAGCAATCGACACTGGACTCCCACTTAATCAAGGGCTGAGCTCACAGAGCTGGTGGGCGAGGCGGTGAACCAGCCCTGGGGTTGGAAGTCATGTCTCACATCAACAGGAGAACTGGAGAATGGTGGCGGCGGGGTGGGGGGTGGGGGGGGGGGGGGGCGGGGGGGCGGGAGGAGGGGGGGGGAGGGACTCTCTCTCGTGATGTGCAGCTTGATACCCCCAGTGAGGGCTTCCCTGGTACCTGAGATAAGTTACAACAAGCACATTTACAGACGGGTTGCCTTAGCCACAGCAGACTCTAGAAAGAGTGGGCAGTGGAGGATATGGGAGGGACTGAAGAAATCAGATTCTTGGGGGATCTCTTGCCTGGAATTTTAAGGCATGGGATGGGTGGGAAAGGGCTCCACCAGGCTCAGCAAAAGGGAACCCAGGGGACAGATGGAAGGCTTTTCTTTCCTTCCCAATGCCATTTAAGTGTTCAGTCTGAGCAGTCTGGTGCCCTTGGTAGGTTGGTTTAGTGGGGAGTCAGAAAAACAGACCCCTCTCCACCAATCCCCAGCATTATCCAGGCACGGTGGGGAAGATCCGTGTTTAACGGAGGACGCTTATCTCAACAACTTCTCTAGGAAGTTGTTCTCTAGGTAACTAAACAGAGATTTCATTTTGATGTAATAAAACTTGCATTAAACAAATACATGGCGTGCTCACACACACGGCATGCCACCGATCTCCAGCTCCTTCCTAACAGTTAATCCCAAATAAGTACTTTCACTCCCGGTGAATATTTACTTTACATACAATGACTGTCTTATTACGTTTAGCATATTAGGTTCGACAAGAAAGTACTGAGTGCAGGTCAAAGGACGTTCTCCTTTCCCTTTCTCTGTGAATAAATTAATTATGAACCCACAGTAAAGATGATAGTGATGATCAATTAGTATTTTACATGTAAGCGTCTCCTTAAACCTCATTAGCGGAGCATTTGAGAAGCTTAATTTAAGGTACTACGTGGGGTTATTTCCATGCTGCTACCTGCTTGGAGTAACAACTCTCCCATCCTGCTTCCTGGGCCCCAGCACCTGTTCCCGTTTGGGGTCCCTGTCATGCTGTCACATTGCTCCGGGCTCTCAAGGAGCAACAGAGGATTATCGACTCTCTACTGGGGGGATGGGGTGTGAAGAAGAGGAGGCAGCAGATAAGTCTCTTTCTCTCTCTTCTAATCAGTGCTTTCTTGTCCCTCACTCACCCCCCTTGGCCACTGTGCTGGAGCCACCCTCGAGAAGAAAAGCAGAAGCAAATCATGGCAGGCTTGAAGTCATGGAAAGAGGAAACATAAGAACACGTGAAGGTCATAGGCATATTTGCTCCTCCTGGGGCCTGTCTAGGAGAAGAGAAGGCTAGAATGGCCTGTTCAGCTGTCTGGGGCGTCTTGGCACACTATCTTTTCTAGAACATTTTCTTGTTCAGGGTTTGTGGCCCAAAAGATGAGCTTTGCACATCAAGCACGTGGGAGAAGAGGGTGGATGGGAGATGGCACTGCCCAAGTGTCCAAGGCTGAATGCCTGTAGTTGGCTCTCAGTGTCCCTCTTGGAAGGGTATGATGCAGGGGCCGAGGCTGCAGGTAGGGCCTAGAGCTGGACCATGGGTTCCCTTCCTTGGCACTGCAGCTGACTCCTTTCCCTGCTGGTGGAATGAGGTTCTACTTCATCCAGTGAGTGGGAGAGGAGAAGCAGTCAGCGGTGGACTGTAGAAGGTCTGGGTTGCTAAGCCTAAGAGCTGGGTGAGAGTCCTGAGGACTCAGACCATGTTGTGGAAGAACTCTAATGACCTCTAACTCTTCTTCCTTTTTATTCCTGGGACCCAGTGCTCGCAGCGAAGGATGGAGAGGCCTCCTTGAGTGTGTTTGTTATTGGCATTTGTTCTCTGAGCTCAAGGAGATAGAGGGTTAAAGGAAGAAGCAAGGGCAGCTATAGGGAGTGGAGAGGGTTATACTGAGGAATGAGGGTCAGGCCAAAGCAGATTCTGTACCTCAACAATAAACAAGAGCTACAATTTGTCGAGCTGTGTGTGGCAGGCACTGGCCCAGATAGGATCTCGTGTCATCCTCAGGCATCCTACAGGGTGGGTCTTCTCCATTTTTATAGACAAGGAAGCCAAGGCTCAGAGGTGCTAAGTGACTCATCTGTGGCCATAGTGCTGGGAAGTGGCAGAGCCACAATTCAAATCCAGGTCAGTCTGGCTGCAAAGCTCATGCCTTTGACCGTTCCACTCTACTGCCCCTAGAATCAGTGGAATCTTCTGTGTCTCTCGTGGAAGGGACAGGATGGACATGGTGGCTGTGCTGGGGTGGAGGTGACGTGGCTGTGGGGGGCTGGGGCGGGAGGAGGGGGAGGTGGGGTAGACCTGGCTGGGTTCCTAAGGCTCTGATGAACCTGCGCTCCCTCCCTCCCTGGTTGGAGATGACCACAGGCAGCGGTGTGGCCACCACTTCCTCCTTTAGGCTTTACAGGTCATCAAAGTTCCTGTGGTTTGACTTCTGGGGGCCTCCTGCCTCTTCTCGGTGTCCCTGGTAGCTTTAGGCTCCCTGTGTATTATCAGGAGACAACAGCTGGGGATGTCTAAAGTTTCTCCTTGTAAAATGAGAAGTTAGACTAAATAACTCTCTACTAGTTATTTAGCTTCAACATTGGGAGGCTTGACTCCTGATGGACAGGCACCTCTGGATTCACATTAGTCCCACCGATAAGCTTTCTAATGGCGGGAGTTGCAGATTCCATATTGCTTCTGACATCCTAGGGCCACAGAAGTGATTGTAGAGGTCCATTTCTACATACCCATTTCCAGATGAGACATTTGAGGATCAGGGAGCGAAGAGACTTGCCCAAAATCACATAGCTCATCAATAGCTGAGCTCCTGGCACCCAGCCCGGTGCCCTCGCCTCACACTGCACCACCTCCCATAGATTGGCAAAGATGGTGCCTTTCTCCCCGTGAGTGAGCATCCTTGGGGTGGGAGCACAAGCATGTAGCATCCGTCAGGACATGGCTGACTTCGTAGGTGCAGCAGATGAGAAGGAGGGGGTCTGAGGACCCAAGCTGAGTCCATCTCATACAGAGCCCCTGTCCCAGGCAGGGCTGAGCTGCAGCCTCAACCTGCATCTCATCACCCAGGAAACGTCCTGTGATGGAATCATGCGGCCCTCCATAGACCTGTGGGGCACTGATTGCAAGAGACTAAGCGGGGCCCTTTAACCAACATTAACCTAATTGCTGAGTGATAGATGGCACGGCACAAGCATACGGTGAGCCATCACTGTGCCCGCTAATCCTGCCCGTGCCCGGGACTCTGCACTGGGTCCATTTAGCCAAATTCATGTCTCACGGATATCTATAATGATTGTGCCTGTTGCTCACTGCCCAGGATGGAGGCTTTAATGATGTTAACAAGCTCTCAGTAATGAGCCTGACACGCCTGGAAACCAGGGCTGCGTGCAGGCAAGGTGAGGAATGTGCCTGCTGCCTCCTGCCTGCCCTGCGCCTGAGGAGATGATGGGGCTGGTTTTCTAGGGTGATCACTGGCCCTGGTAGGGACCCCTGGCAACCATTCACCTCCCCAGGCTCCTTTTGTATCCTCACTTCCAGTTTTTCTTGGAACTTTCTTCCCTAGGGCCCTGGGTGAGTGTGATGCATTTGATTTCAAAGATATTGAATAGAACAATATTTCCTTACGTTCCTACAGCACGTTACGGTCTTCACGTTTTCATCTCACTGAATTCTCTCCCAAAACCCATGCAGTAGGAATCATGATTTCCATTGGGCCAATGAAGATTAGAGAGACCAAACAGTTTGCTAAGGTCTCAGGGCTGGCAGGTAGAGGAGGCAGGATTTAGAAGACCCTTGGATCCCAATTCTCATGCGATTTCCATGTCCAGCTGCCCAAGAATTTATACTGCTCTATTCAAAGCCTTACCCTTCAGTACCCTGTGAACCCTTCCCTTTGGAGTCCTGTGGCATCTCACCAAGTTGGAGACTTGACCTGTGTCCAGTGGCCCAAGGCAGCTCCTTGAGGCCAAGGTGGGTCTGGGGTCAGTGTGACTGAGAGTCTAGCTGGGTGTGGCAGGGTGCTGGGCTCTGTAAAGCCATCTGATCTTGACGAGCCCAACAGCTCTCCCCTTCTCTTCTGGCTCAGAAGCGCTACTTATATCATTTCCCCCTTTCCTCTTCCTCATGTCTTTCCTGTAGACCCAGCCAGTCTTCCCTCCATGATTCACTCCTTGAAGGGACAAGGCTGTCAGTGAAGGGTCAGTTCTGCAGGATCTGAATGTCTGCAGGGTCAGGCAGCTCCTTCTTCTCCCCTGCTGGATGTGCCCTAAGTCGGGGAACTCACCCCTCTGACTCTGACCCTGCCCTGGCCACACTGGAATCATGGCCCCTGACCCAGAAGGCCACAGGCTGACGCATAATGGAATTTGCAGGCCACTCGTACCCAGAAGTCCTGCCCCATGGCTGTTAGGGAACGGAAAGAGGCCTGAACCAAAAGTTAGGAGACTTGAGTTCCAACTCTGCCATGGTCACTTATGCACTGAGTGAGTGGGGCAAGTCATTTCACTTCCCAAGTCTTTTACTCTCTCCTACTTTGTAAAACCGTGATAGCAATGTTTACCTCTCAGAGTCCTTACCAATTAAAAGCAAGAGAATGGATGAGAAAGAGTAAGTGCTGATGAAAGATGAAGTGTCATTTTTACGGTCGCCAGTGCCACTTTTCTGGTTGTTACTAAAGGCTGGCTCTGGGGAGGCTGCGAGGGGTGGAGCTAAAGGAGAGGAGCCCTGTTCACGGGCACGCTCCCAGTACCCCCTGCAGAGCTGTGTGCCCAGTGGAACCAGGGTGACTTGACCCAACTTTACATGATAAATCATGCAGAAGGATCTGGCTACTCTCCTCCCTTTCTCCATAGGAGGGGAAGCATCACTCCTTCTACCCTCCCACCCCCAGCACCCCCCTAGCTTCATGCCCACCTCCTGCCCACCAACTTCACAGCAGCCGCCACTGCCAGATGAACACCCCAAATTGGAACATATGTCACTTCTGGAGCCCCGTTCGCCTGTCCACCGCTACATGCCTATTTTCTAATTTCCAGCTGACATTTCCCTTAGTGAAATAAATGAATTTGCTCTGGCGGAGGCCCTGCTCAGATTAAGCTGCTGTCAGAGCCCCTTGAGCCAAACAAATTGTTGCCTGCAGCCCACCGAGCGGGATGCATTCCAATGGGGGCTATGGGGGGAGGGGCGGGGGGAAGCAAGGAGGAGCAGAATGGACTGGCTGGGAAAGTGGCTCAGTTAGCCAGTGGGCAGGAGAAGACCAACTGCATGAGAGCATTGCACCGGGAGCCCTGATGCTAGAGGAGCCAGGGAATTGGGAATCAAAATGAATAGGGTATTCTAAGAGTGGAGGTGGGCTACGAGAGGGCCCTGGGAAGGCTTCAGGGAGTGGGGTCCATGGGAGGAGGGACATAGGAGATGGAGGGAGAGGGGAGAGTTCCCCCCACAAGCTCCGGGGTGGGGAAGAGGGTGGGCCAGAGCGGACTGGACTCACTGCTCAGCGATGATATAATCCCCCGGCAGGGGCGTGCAGGGCACCCCAGCCACCTGCACGTGGTGGGCGATCTCGGAGAAGTCCAGGCCCAGGTTCACGCCATGGATAGTCACTCGGGTCCCTCCTTCAGGGGGTCCGGACACCGTCAAAATCTGCGGGAGGGAAATGGGATGAGCAAAGCTGGTCGGTCACAGGAGTAGGGGCAGTGGCACCCATTTCCCTCCCCACGGGAAGGCTTTGGGACACCTGGAATCTGGGGGAACTGGGTGTGTTTTCTCTGCTTTTCAACTTATCTAGGATCCCGACATTGTCATGATGTAGCTATTTCATCGCTTCTTAGGACATCCATCCAATGATTCATTCATTCATCCACTTATGAAAAAGAAATTATCAGAGAGTACTGGCTCAAGGCAGTACTTTTTTTTTTTTTTTTTGTGGTACGTGGGCCTCTCACTGTTGTGGCCCCTCCTGTTGCGGAGCACAGGCTCCAGACGCGCAGGCTCAGCGGCCATGGCTCACGGGCGCAGCTGCTCCACAGCATGTGGGATCTTCCCGGACCGGGGCACGAACCCGTGTCCCCTGCATCGGCAGGCAGACTCTCAACCACTGCGCCACCAGGGAAGCCCTCAAGGCAGTACTTTAATTCACTAGCCTGATTGTGATCAAGTCACAGAATCTCTCTGAACCTCATTTCTTCTTAGTTGGTAGGAAGGATAATCATCTCTAACCAACCTCTCCCTGGAAGCTCCCGAATGGAGGGTGTCTGGGAGCATTCTGTAAACCTGAAAGGGCTTTGTCATTGTGGCCATGCTATGATTTGCCACTCCTGGGTGCTAGCCTCTGTAGAGTTTACAATGATGAATAGAACAGGAAATCTGCCCTCGAGGAACTTAGTGGTCAAGGAGGAGGAGATAAGGGAGCCATAAATAATGCTGATGCAGGGTACACAGTGATAAGGTGAAGGAAGAGCTGTGGGAGCTCAGAGGAGTTCCAGATTAGGGACTGCTGTGGGGGATGACCAAAGATGGAAAGTATATTTGACATTGTTCTGCAAAAAAAAAAAAATCCTGTGACACGTGCTAGTACCAAAGAGAAATAGCTTTCTGAGTTTCCAAATGTTGCTGGCTTCCCAGCAGCAAGGATCGTTTATTTATTCATTTCTTAATTCAGTCACCAAATGCCGACTGCCTGATTTTGTTTTGACCCAACAGGAACTGCAGAACCACGCAGCTCTAAGGTATACATTTCTGTCTGGGAATGGATCAGGCTCCAGGAAACATGCAGCTCTTCAGGATCCAACAGATCCCAGGGAATAAGCTCCTACTTCGAGGTCCACAGTTATCCAAAGCAGGAGGAAATTAGACATGAACCCAACTGAAGGCAGGAGCATGGAATTTCAGAACTGGAAGGAGATACGGGGTGTCTTATTCTAAGATCATCATACAACATGTATATAAGGTTTTAAAAAAGTCCAGGACTCTTTTCACTGCACCATTAGAAGGGCAAGAAGGGAGGGAGAGAGGCAAGGAGGGCTGCTCAAGGCCAAGAGTCCACCAGAATCTTCCAGATACGGCCTCTGGGCAGAGATTGGAGGTGAGTACAGGCGAAAATGCTATCGAAGGCTCTGAAGACTCTTCCCTGCTCCTGTCTCCAGCAAAGGGGCACTGCTCTCTTCCAGTAATGTAAGCACCATGAATGCGGCCGCCAACTTGGCCACGAATGCCCAGGTGATAGCAGACACAGAAGAGATGATGGAGGGGATGAGGTCCCGGGACAGGCCTCCTCCCTCACTGCCCACTGACTCCTGGGCTCTTGTGCATTGGCTGCACAGCCAGGTCAGACCTCCTGATCTCCCACCCTCTTCTGCAGACCTTACATGGTGCAGCCTCCTTCCCTCCTTCAGGCCCAGGCTGGGAACTATCTTATCCGGGGGCCCATTTCACCCAAGTCACCTTGTCTGTGGCTCTGACTCCCTTCTCTGGGAAGAAAATATCCCACCTTATGAATAAAAATAAACAAGATTCATGAGATGAATCAAGGGAGGGGACGGCGGTTCTCAGAGGCATCTTTGTGCACTGGGCTTTGGCGGGTCGGGGGAGGCAGGACAACTTGGAGAGAAAGGAGCTGGCATGAGGAACCGGTAGCCCCATAGCTTTTCTGTCCCTGAGGGTTCTAAAAACAACTGACACTAGATCTTGGCTGTTACACTCTCCCCTGGTGCCACTTCCTCAGGTCCCCAGGCCTCTTGGGCTCTGGGAGATGGATATTCGTAATGAGGAACAGGAAAGGGGTGGCCTCCATGCCCCTGCGGGAGAGATTCAGGAGGAAGGAAGTAGCTTTGAGCAAATCTAAGCACCTGGTTCTCCTCTGATCACTTGGAATGAACATCACTGGTCCCGCTCCCCTCCTCCAGCCACCTGGATGCCAGGAACCCACCTACTGAAAACCCTGACAGAACTGTGGTGATCAGCTTGCTCTCTTTCTTCCACTTTTATTTTATTTATTTTTATTTTTATTTTTTGCAGTACGCGGGCCTCTCACTGTTGTGGCCTCTCCGATTGCGGAGCACAGGCTCCGGACACGCAGGCTCAGCGGCCATGGCTCACGGGCCCAACTGCTCCGCGGCATGTGGGATCTTCCCGGACCGGGGCACGAACCCGTGTCCCCTGCATCGGCAGGCGGACTCTCAACCACTGCGCCACCAGGGAAGCCCCTCCACTTTTATTTTTAAAAATACATTCTCTTGCTCACTGCGGTTAATCACAAGCTTTAAGAAAAACTGAAATGAGATCTTTCTGGAAAGTCTAAAAATATTTCCGTCTTGCAGGTAGCATGCGGGGATTGTACTGGGGATATTCAGTGGAGTTGGCAGGCCCACGGGGCAGCCTCCTCCTGCTGGGAAGTCTCTGCACTGTCCCCTCTGACATTCGAGGGTCTGTGGCAGAGACACAGTCATGGCACTTGGGGGGCTGCAGGGTTCATTTGTTAGCACAGAGCTGCCCAGAAACATAAACCAGCTTATACTGTTTAGAGAAGGAAGACTTACAAAAATATTAATATATGCAAGCATTATAATCTTGGCATGAAGACACATGTCAAAGAGAAGGGTCCAGCTAACAGCTGGGAGAATTAGCATCCTCATGGATCACTGGAAAGTGCCTGGGTAATACTGGGTCCACGTGGATCTTCCCCATACAGCACACACACTGTGCTGTGCCACGAGCACCTGGGGAGGTGGTGAAGGAGTTTGGGGGTCAAAGCACTCAGCAGCCCCCATGCCCCGGGGCTTACATGGGATGTAGTTTCCTCTTTCTTGCTTAAGACAAAACTGATGTATAAAAGTCTGGATTTCCAAAACATAGATGAGGTGGTGAGCACTTGATTTGCAAGAGGATTCCCAAGGTCTCCATTACTGATGCCTTCTAAACCTATATCGCTGGCTCAGACCTCTCTCTTGAGCTCCATAGCCATATATCTAATTGCTACTGGACATCTCGACTTCCACACGTATGTCCCTCAGGCACCTCAAATTTCACCATGTCTGGAAACGAACTCTTAATTTTCCCTCCTTCCACCCCCAACCTGATTATCCTCCCAGATCCTTTCTCAAGGTTAATGGAACCACCGTGCACCCAGCCAGGAATCTTGCAAGCATCTTTGACTGCTTCCTTTCCCTCTCCTACCATGTATAATAAATATAGGGACCATTGGTTCTTACTCCCAGGTGTCTTATTTTTTTTTTTTAAGATTTAATTAATTAATTATTTTTTTGGTTGCATTGGGTCTTTGTTGCTGTGTGTGGGCTTTCTCTAGTTGTGGTGAACAGGGGCTACTCTTCGTTGCGGTGCTCAGGCTTTTCATTGTGGTGGCTTCTCTTGTTGTGGAGCATGGGCTCTAGGTGCGTGGGCTTCAGTAGTTGTGGCACACGGGCTCAGTAGTTGTGGCACACGGGCTCAGTAGTTGTGGCATGCGGGCTTAGTAGTTGTGGCTCGTGGGCTCTAGAGCGCAGGCTCAGTAGGTGAAGCGCATGGGCTTAGTTGCTCCACAGCATATGGGATTGAACCCGTGTCCCCGGCATTGGCAGGTGGATTCTTATCCACTGTGCCACGAGGGAAGTCTCCCAGGTGTCTTTTGAATCTGTGCCCCACTCTGGTTCCAGCGTAGGTGATAAGCAGGGCTGCATCACCTCTCACCCACACTAACTGCAAGGGCCTTTGTCTTCCTCCATGAGATCTGACTTCTTCACATGGCCAGGTGGGCTTCATCAACACATACCTGCTCTGATTACTAGTCACTTGCTCTAAAGGCCTTCAGTGGCTCTGACCACTGTCCCTAATTCCCGGCCTGGTCCTCCACATCCTGATGTTTGTTACTTCTTCAGCCACATCTGCCGTCTTATACTATATCCACCATGTGCTACCCAGATCCCAGCCGTTTCTATATACACAACACACTTTAAAGATCTGTGCCTTTGCCTGTGTCATTTGTTCTCCCCCAGCTTAAAAATCAGAGAGAGTCAAGGTGGAGGTCTGGGCTCAGCGTGCAAAGGAACGGAGGGAGGAGTCCTGTGTGACACGCCCCGGGCCACCTGAGGGCTTCCAGGTGACTGTGAGGATGAGCATCAGGGTCTACCAAAGCCCTGCCTGTGTGGTGGTAAAAGCCAAGGCACACTGCTTTCCTCATTTCTCCCCAAGAATGGAGGAGAGGCTCTAGAAGGGAGGCTTGAAGGAAAAGAATTTATCCTCCAGAGAGGGACTGAACAGGATTCTTCAGATACCGCTTCATACCAGGCAGGGCTCTACCCTGGAGACAGCCTCCAAGGCTCTCTCTTCAAAGCAGTGTTAGAGTGCAGGGCACCCAGCATGGCACCCAGAAAACTTGGTTTTCTTGGGGGCCACGTCTGTCCTCTCCACGTGGGTCTATAAGGAGGCAAGTCGGTGCAGTCCCATACTACTGCTTGCAGAACTCCCAGGAAGGCCTTTCAGCTCTGGAAGGAGTTGTGGGGCCATAGGGGAGGGAGAGCTAACCTCCCACAGAGATGGGGGTGAAAGGGCAGGCTGCAGTTACAGACGTTCCCCCACAGACAGAGGGGAAACCAAGATACGGCCAGGATGACAGCCAGATCCTCACGTCTCTGCTTCTAGTTTTAGAT